TGGGTTCTGATAAAATACAATAATACACTACATCCTCAGCGAACCACACATGCCGCCGATATACATTAGCTTTGTACAGGCCTCACTGTAACCATTTAATAAACCTTGTGGTTGATAATCCTTGCATTTGGTGTAGCTCCTTATCACGTCGTCAAGATGTCTGAAAGTGCTTCACAGAATATACTGTAAAGTGAATTGAGGGTATACTTTTCGGGCGAAATGCGGCAGCCAATTGGGTGCAGCAGTGTCCCACAATTTTTTTTAAAGGGATTATTACCTAACCATGCATTGCTGCCCCTCCCCCACCCCTCCCATTCGCTCTTCGTCTCAGTGTGCGCATTTTGGCTGCCACCACTGACCTGAGCTGCTTCTCCAAAATGCTCTATCCTCCACTACTCTCATCCTCTTCTCCCACCGCCCTCTCCGACTCCTATCCCAGCTCCATCATTCCATGGCCTCCCTCTGCTCCAGCCTGCGAATCAATCCTCTGTTGGGCCCATCGTGGCAGACACTGCTGGCTGTCCAACAGCAGCCACTCTGACTGCCTTATCCCTCATTCTTGCCGCAAGGCCCATCGGTCTCTGACCACTGGGGCCAAATTCTCCTCCCTCATCCACATTTCCACCCTCCCTGACAGTCCTCCCCCTCCCACCCCTAGCCCCCCACATTCCACTACCAACTGTCTTCTCCACAACAGCCTAGAAAATGTCCACTCCCTCTCAAATAAAACATCCATCATCCAAGACGTCATTGTCGATGAAAACATCGACATTCTCACCCTCACTAAACCTGGATCACTCCAGGTGACACCTTCCCCCTGACAGAGGCCACACCACCCGGCTACATCATGGGCCACCATCTCAGACCTCATCGCCGTCGACAAAGCAATCTCCGACTCTCACTTCATCTCCCTTAACTCCTCAATCCCCCTCCCCACTGCTACTCAACCCACCTCCATCTTCTCCCACTCCTGGAAAAAAATCTCCCCCCACTCCCTTCCCCTGTCTTGGAATCATCTGAACTCCTTCCCCTCTCGGATTCCTCCCACAATGACCTATCCTCCTCGGTCACTCTTCTCCACAACTCATTCTCCACCAATCTCGATTCCCTTGCTCCCCTCACTTCCCGAATTGTCTCCTATGCACGAAAGTCACCATGGTACATCAGCCACCCCCGCTCCCTTTAAGCACAGATGAGTGGCGCTGAACACACCTGGCTTAAATCAAACTTAATGGTCTATCGGCAGATCTGGCTAGGCCTTATCAAATCTTATCGCTTCGCCCTTGCCTCACTAAATCGTCGTTCTACTCCAAGACAATCTTGGAGGTCAAGGACAACCCTAGGCTCCTCTTCTCCATCACCAACTGGCTCCTCCGCCCACCCTCTCACACCTCGCCCATCCTCAACTCTAATGCCAACTGCAAGGCGATATTGGACTTCCTCGAATCCAAAGTCAAGGGGATCTGCTCAGCTGCTCTTGCCCTTCCCTCTACTACACCCTCCCCATCTCCCCCTCAAACCCCTGCCCCTACCCATCCCTTCCTCCACACCTTCGAACCTGTCTCCCATTCCTCTCTCACCACCACTATAACCCGCATGAAGCTGACCACCTGCTCCCTCGACCCCATCCCTACCCCTCTCCTTACCTCCCAGCTCCATCTCTTTGCTCCTCTACACAGACATCATAAATCTCTCCCTGTCCATTGGCACCATTTCCACCCCTTTAAAAACAGCCATCATCACTCCTATCCTTAAAAAACCCTCCTTGGACCCATTTCTGCTCTCAAACTAATGCCCCATCTCCAACCTTTCCTTTCCTCTCTAAGATCCTGGAATGAGTTGTTGCTTCGCTCCTTCCTCTCCCACCACTCCCTTCTCGAACTCCTCCAAATGGGTTTCCATGCTGCCCACAACACAGAAACCGCTGTCCATTTGTGACCAGAGCTCCCTCTGCCTCCTCGGGCTCCTTAACCTCTCTGCTGCCTTCGACACCATCGACCACTCTATCCTCATCCACCACCTCTCTATCACCTCAATTGTCACGGTTCTGTCCTTGATTGGTTCAGATCGTAGCTCCACTGCATCTCCACAAACGGTTTCTCCTCCAGCCCCCGCAACGTCTCGTGCAGCGTTCCTCAGGGCTCTGTCCTTGGTCCCCTCCTCTTCAATATCTATATGCTCCCTCTTGGTGACATCATCCGCAGACACAGGGTCAACTTCCACATGTATGCGGGTGACACCCAACTGTACCTCTCTGCCTTCCACCCTTGACTCCAGGACCACTACTGTCCTGGCAGAATGTCTGGCAGACATCAAGTCCTGGATGAGAGCTAATTTTCTTCAGTTGAACATCAACAAGACCGAGGCTCCCCTGATTGGTTCCCATTGGCACCTCAGGCGCTGACAACATCACCATCCACGGAGGCACACACCACCTTACTTAGCCAGTCTGGAACCTTGGCATCTTGTTTGACCCTCAACTATCCTTTCTACTCCACATCCATGCCATGAGCTGCTCAGCCCTCCTCCACCTCCACAACATTGTCCGCCTCTGCCACTGTTTCACACCGCAGGCCGCCGAAACCCTCATACACGCATTCATATCAAGCCTTGATTATGCAAACTCCTTGCTTGTCGGCCTCCCAAACTCCTCCCTCCATAGGCCACAGATCATGCAGACTCTACAGCCCATGTCCTCTCCCGCACCAGGCTCCACGACCCTATTGGCCCAATCTTTGCCTGACTCTACTGGCTTCCCATCACCCAGAGGATACTCACCTTCAAAGCCCTCCACGGTCTTGCTCCCCCACTACCTCTGCGACCTTCTAACCTGATATGATCCTGCTCGCTCCCTCCGCTCAGTGGGCTCTGGCCTGCTCCATGTTCCCCCGCCTCGTCTGCCCCACCATTGGTGGGCGGGCCTTCTGTCACTCTGCCCCACCCTCTGGAACTTCATACCACAGTCCCTCCACCTCACATACAGGTCGAGTGCTCTAACCATTATACTACAGGACTCCACTGAACTATATTCAAGACAATTTAAGAAATGAAGATTACATTTCATCCACATTCATATTGTTCCTTTATTAAACAGTGCTTTATTAAATTACATGAAGGGTGTACAACACTTGTGGCATGTAGATCTATGTACATTTAGAGCAAAATAATGCCCTTCAGAAATGAATTAGGAGAGAAAATATTACAAATAAGATTTTATTTGAACAATACCGTAATGATACACTCAAAAATGTCTTGTTATATACAAAAGTAAATTGTACAAAAAATTGATAAAACCAATATTTTCATTCATCCAATAATACAACAACTTGCACTTATATAGTGCCCTCCACACAGGGTAGTGTCTCAGAGCACGTAACAGTGGTGGAGCCTGACTGCGAGCCTGGGGTGGGGGGATGGGGTGTGGGTGAAGGTGGCTGTAAGCACGGTCGAAGAGGAAGTTTTTCAGGCGTGACTTGAAAAACGGGAGAGCGGGGGTAAAGCGGAGGGATTGAGGGAGAGTGTTCCAGAGTTTGGGGGAGTAGTGGCTGAAAATGCGACCTCCGATGGTGGGTGGAGGATGCGAGGGATGAGCAGGAGGCTGGTGCCAGTGGAGCAGAGGTGCCGGGTAGTGGATTGGGGAGGGAGGAAGTTGGAGAGGTCGGGAGGTTTCAGGGAGTGAAGGTATTTGAAAAATAATGTTAGTTATAGTTACAAAAGAGGCATTTTGGAAGTGTTGAAAATATCTCGTTCATCTATTGCTTTAGGCTCAAAGGATATTACTGAAAGGCAGTAGTGGATTATATCAAATTGCAATAGCTGCCTATTTTCTATTGCAGTCCAGCCAGCAACAAACATAATGTTGAATATTGAAATGCAATATCTCCTCTTTTCCAGTTTGCCTTAAGTAACAAATAACATACGTAAATATCCATTTACTGCTGAGAGAATAATGACCAGTAGCCTATAGAAAAAAGCAGAACTTCCCAGTAGTACTAAAGAATATACAGAGCACGGCCAAATAAAAGCCTCTTAAGAGCCTGCGATGAAAACAAATTGTTTCTTTTATTAATGTATCACTGAACTTTACCCTGTAATTGGCATTGCTCCAGGCTTTCTTCCCATATAAATATGGAGTAAACTCTTATTTATAATGAATATAGGATTGCTATCATATTGTTATTGAATGGTTTTGACCTGCTCTTGCGGAGAGAATTTGTTTCTTGCGCGTGGTACCAGGAGCATACTCAGGATTTGTGAAAGATCCTGCATGAAAACCTTCTGGAGCCAGATGGAATAGAGGCCAGACTGGGGATCAAGTGGGGGCACAGACTGTTGCTGGCAAGAGAAATGAGCTGGAGAATAATAATAATAATAATCCTTGCATTTGATATAGCGCCTTATCTTGTCTTTGAGACGCCTCAAAGCGTTTCACAGAATATACTGTAAAGCGAGAGACCTGGGTTCGATTCCCGGCAGGGTGAAACCTTGGGCAAGTTTCCTTACTCAACGCACCTGATAATAATCCCTCAAGAAAAAAAACAGTAATATATTGGTCACTTCAATCCACATCTCTTTGTGGAACGCTGAAGTGCACAATTGGCTGTTGTGTTTCGCCCACAAATATACAGTCAATTCACTTTACAGTATATGCTGTGAAGCGCTTTGAGACGTCTAGAAGACATGAAAAGAGCTATATCAAATGCAAGGATTATCATTATTATATATTACCAAGTGAATTGACTGTATATTTTGTGGACGAAATGCAGCAGCCAGTTGTGCACAGCAGTGTCCCACAAACAGTCATGGATTGAGTGACCAGTTTATTATTTTTTTAATTTTGAAGGAATTATTACCCCCAGAAAAGCGATCTGCCAATCAACTAACAACCGGGTTCCTACTTATTGCTACGTAGACAGAGGAGTGTGGAGTACGGAAACTTTTGGGCCCAACATTTTACCCTGGCGGGAATCAAACCCATGTGTTTCGCTTGACAGGCGAATGCTCTAACCGCTGAGCTACAGGACTCCGCAGGGGAGAAGGGACTTAATGAGAATAGAAATAGAAACAGGAGTCTAATGAGGAATGGGAATGGAACCCAGAGCCGGGACACAGTCAGAGTACCAAAAGGCCGTGTTCACAGTTTAAGCTGAAACAAGACTGTGCAACTTTATCCTGCTGTGCAGGGGGTTTGGGGATTTGGGTATATATTTCTGCATGGTTTCAATCGCCTTGTTCCTGGAAATTTGTTGCAATCATCTGTTAGATAGTTTTAATTAGAAAGCATCCGTTTTCTATTTTAATTCACAAAAGTGAATTTGGATCTGCATTATAAACGAGAGCTTTATGTAGATTGATTATAAGATGACACTGATGAACTAACGGCTACAAGCATCGCAAGGCTTCGAATGTGGATTAGATTTATCCACAACTGTAGGGGGAATGTCCTCATGTTCTCTTTAACATGTGAAGCATGGATCGTGGACTCCTATGATCTAAGTTTGTTCTTAATTTTGCATTTGCCCAACCTAGGGGCTTCCAGTGTCAGGGATTGGAGCATCTTTTACTTGCGTTACTCAGTGTCAACATCAAACATCCCCAGATCAGTATGGATCTCTACTCTTCCCACAACAAAGTGCTGCAAACCCTACTTTTGGGTCTTAATCACTCTCCACTGCACTTCCATTTCCCAAACCAGCCATCCGTTTAGATGTCCCAGGGTGACTGCCAGTTAAGTATCAATTAGTGCCAAATCATGCACAGTTATATTCTCTAAATATACACTCACTCGTACATAAGGAGAGACTGAGCAAAAGAGTACATCTAATGCAATGTTATATTTCATTTAAATAAAAATCAGCATTGGGTCTAAAATGTTATCAGCACCACAATAAGAGTAAAGAATACATCTATGTCTTATAATACATAAACACAATGCAAGTCATTTACCTTGTACAGTGAGATACCATTTACAGACAGTGCACTGCGTGAAGTTTAACTGCCTTCGCCAGGAGCACAGGCACCACGGGAAAGCAACTATCTATATTTATGAGGTAGTCAAGACTACAGGGGATACTGGCAACAGAAATATGGAACAAACAGTACAAGCCTGCCATCCTGTAACATGACTGCAAACTTCTGTTTAATCAATAAAGATATATAAATTATACAATAACTTACAGCAACTTTTTATTTCCTGCAATTATTACTTTCAGATATATGGTGATATAAATTGTTGTGGAACAACCCCAAACCATTCATTGGGAAAAGCAGTATTGAGTACTGATGTGAATTATAGATGACAAAAAGACTTGTTGTTTGCACCGCTCCCTTTGGCAGCTCAATGGTAAATGCATTTTACACCACTCTCACCGATCACAGGTTAGAGCAAGCAGACCGAACTGCTTCATTACCCTGGTCCGATTGGTAGCTGCAATACGAAAAACACTGAGTCAGTGTAGAAAACAATAGAAAAATTGTTTCTTCATAAATAATACCAATAATAATAAATATCCTTGTATTTGACAGAGCACTTTAACATGTGGTTTTGAAGTGTTTGAAAGCTCTTCACAGTATTTTTACCATAGAGAGCAGTGACTGCATATTTGAAGGCTAACATATTTCTAACCTTTTTATGTGGACCTCTTGTGTAAGATACAAGCCCAGTTCAAGTCAAGACAGTCTCGGAACAAATATTGAACAAATATGAAAGTGTACAAAATGAAACCCATCAATGAAATGTGGTGTGATTTGAAATGCTCATATTGCTCATATTGGAAAGTCAGCTTTGTTAAAGATTTAAGTCATTCAACGGTTGAAAGGATTGAATAATCTCTGAACCCACAGCAAGTAAATAATCTAACAACCTCTGAACACACCGCAAGAGAATACTGAATTCTGAACCTGAATTGGACCTGTCTTATTACTTTTGTTACTCTGCCAAATGCCTGAATTTGGTTTCCCATCGTTGAACTGGGAAGGGAACGTAAATGTGTTTTGCTTTTGAGGAAAATCTGATTTTGTCTCTTGAATGGTATTTTGCACCTTTGGGACACTATGGAAGTTTATGAATGGGCAGTAGATAGGGTGAATGGCAAAAATCCAAGCACCATCAGATCAGTTTTCCCAACCCTAAATCTGATACAGATCCAGGCCACCCTCTGTGTTAACAGTGCTTTCTGTAGCTTGCTCTCCTTCAGGTAGTTTGAGGCAGATTTCACTCACCACTGGGTATCCGCCCAGCAAAGTTAGGTTTGTGTATTTCACACTAAAGAAATTGCCACCTGTCTTTATATGGAAGATAATAATAATCCTTGCATTTGATATAGCGCTTGTCACATCTTCTAGATGTCTCAAAGCCTCATTTCTTATGCCTGAACTAAATGAAGATCTTTTCTGCCTGTTCAGATGGATATTAAAGATTGCATGGCACTGTTCAAAAAGAGAAAAAAGTTTCTCCTGGTGCCCTGGCTGACAATCCCCCACGTAAAATTGGTCATTCACTTCATAGCTGTTTGCGGGACATTGCTGTGTGTGTAAATTGGCCACCACGTTTGTTTACAAATACAAAGTCACTGTATCAACTCTAACTTGCATTTATATAGCACCTCTCACGCTGGGAGACTACCCAGCATGACACCGAGCTGGGGGGTGGGGGGATAAGTGACCATAAGCACGGTCGAAGAGGAAGGTCTTCAGGCACGAACTGAAAATGGGGAAGGAGGGGGCAAGGCGGAGGGATTGAGGGAGAATGTTCAACTACATTTTACAGTAAAATCCTGTGAAATGCTTTGAGACGTACTGACGATGTGATAAAGTGCATAATCAAATGCAAGGGTAATGTTATACATGTGCACAGCTATTGACCCACTTGTAGCAGAGCATTTCAGTACTGAGAGAGATCTACTTTTGGCAGAGTAGTGCACCACAGAGGATTTACCAGAGGAACCAAGTCATTTAACAAACAGGACAAGAATAAATTGAACTATTAAAAAGTACTATAAATGATGGTGAGTTACAATTTATTATTCAAAGGAAATCCCAAATATTTTATATCTCTGTTGACTTTAATTGGTGAAACAGAAATGGATATGTTGGCCAAGAGCCATTTACAGATGCTAGGTCTGTTAAAACCATGTTTCTACCATGTATTTAGAGTTTACTCTTCGTTATGTTCTTGACTTATAACAATTGTGGCATTATGCTCCAAACCTCACAAGTAGTTAATGTGGATGAAGTGATTGTTCTTTAACTAACTTTGACCCTGTGCACTTGTAAACAATTCTCATGGAACTTTAAGAGTGTTATTTTGCTTTACTTCTTCAATACCATGATACTTAGACTTTAGGCTAGTTTTAGACTAATTTATAAGTGTAACGTGCAAAGGACACATCGACAAGTATCTTACATGGAGCACATGCAGTAAATTAACCCCTTTTGTATTGATTAACAAGATCAGTATTTCTTCAATAATACATTCCAGCACTGTGACCATAACAACTCTCTCATATAACACAGGGATATACAACTGTTATTGTTACACAAAATCTATTGAAAGCTATAACAAAAAAATGGGAAGATTTGATTCACTATCCATGTGAAAATGTTAAAGGTGAAAATAGTGCATTGGGAATTCTATTCAGAATTCAGTACTGCCTAGAATTGTCTTTCATTATTTGATTTCCAGCTTTACCTTTCTGCTGCATGTTGATCCCAAAAATCCCCTCCTGCAGGCACACACATTTGGCCTGATGCACTTACTTCCAAAGAGACACTTCTGCTCACAGATAGCTGGGAACACAATTAGGAACAAACACAAGTTAAAGATCCGCGTGGTTACATGGTTAGATCAGAAGAAATGTAAGCCATACTTTTTACTGCTCAAATTTTAGACCCTTGCGTTAGAGAGATTTATGTTCAGTTGAGCTTTATATTTAGATGCTAATAAATAATCAATCCAACACCGATTAGCTTGTTATAATTTCCAACTGAAATGACCTGTTCATCATGTTTATTGAATTCTGCTCCTGGGTTACATCTGAGTGTGTTCTGAGCAGAATCAGTATTTCAACCTTTCATTGCCCGTAGCAATTGAAGGGGTAGGATTTATTGAAGAGCAACATAAAGAAGAAAGAACACAAGATAGCCAATAAGGTCAATTTTTTTAAAAAACCAATAAGCCTGAATTACGCAAAGAACTGAAATAAAGGTATTAAGACACTCAAGGAGTGACCCAAATCCCATTGATGTTAATGTAATTGAATTAGTTTATAGTGATATTCCATACTAGTAGTAAGGATATGTAAGGGTTGAGGAAGTCTCTGATCCATGCAAACAGCAAGGTTCAATATTACCATTTGATCTGCTAAAGGTTTGGTGGCTGAAAAGTAATGAGCACGAGTGAGCCAAGACTCTGTTATTGTTGAGCACGAGTTTTAACTACTTACGAGTCTGACACAGCATTCCTTCCCAGCCTGGTCGACATTGACAGGTACTAGGTCCTGCACATTCTCCATCATTGTGGCACTTCTGCAGGCAAAGCGCTATATACACAGGGGCAATAAATACATTAAGAAAACCTCTTAAGTGCAAGTGAAAGTGTAAACGTGTGTGAGTGCCCTATAGCAGTGTATTCTATAACGTCAAAAATATCTTCAAAACATGTTACTTCCAGCTAATTCTTAAAATTTGATTTATATTCTAACCTTATTTTTTCTCATTGTACAGTATCAAAATATACTCTCAAAATATTCCCTAGACCCTCACCAACAGCAAGATTGAGCTAGCTGGTTCAAGATTTGTGGGAATGATCTGCTTTTAGGTTTCCCTCCCTCACTTCCTGGAAGTATGTCATGTTGACAAATTTCTACGAAATACCACAAATTAGAATTCAATATGTACAATCTTAAAAATTGCACTGTATCAAATGTAACTTTAATATCCAAAATTCCCTTAAGAGAATGAGGACTACAATTTTTGAGGCTTTAGAGGAAAATTTGCAAACCACCCCCAAATCATACTTACGTTGATTGCACCTTTTCCCTTTCCACCCTGAAGGGCAGTCACAAATGTCAGGACCTACACACTTCCCTCCATTCATGCACATCGGCTCACAAACACCTGCAGAAAACCAAAGAGTCAAGTCTTTCAATGTTGTAGTAAAACATTTGGCTGACACTGTGGGCTGTTTTTAGTTAGTTGTATGTCTATGACACATGTGAAAACCCATCACCATCTTTAAAGGTATCCAATCCAAACTCAACTTCCACAAATTCCCGGTATCTGGGAATAGAATGCATATTCTCTCCTTGGAGGTAAACATCCTACTTATCTCATTTTGGAGATTATTAGGTGCAGGTTTGTGAGAGTCAAGGCTTGGGTACCTCAGAGAGGGCTTTGAAGCTGATGTGTCATTCAGGCTTCCAGATTGTCCTAGTAGAAACATCCATTTAAAATACTTTAGATGTAATCTAAACATTTCATTTTAAGTTAATTCTATAGCAGTGCTTTCACAGCTGAAAGTAATACCCTTAAAAATAAAAAAAGATATTTACACAATGAGTTATTCAGAAGGGTAGAAGGGTATTGATTAATATGCAGGAAAACATAGCAGCCAGTGTTTGTAAAGAACACCAGAAAGTGACCATAAATCAACCAATACTGAAAGCACCTCATGTGCCCTTTCACTATTGTCCAGAACCTTAGATCACCTCTTTAACTATACTAAATAAACAAGATGAAATTGCCCTGAAATCACACAGTCACACGCGGCTAAGGTTGATAATTGTACTGACAAGAAAAATACCACCCAAGGCTTCTTCAGATTTTGCGGATGAAAATCGAAACTGACTCAGTCTGGTACAATTCACAAGCAGCAAACAGAATCAAATGTGATTGATTGAAACTGACATGAGATGGGTTGGGCAGCCAACATAAAGAATAACAGGCTTCTAACCCGTAAAGCTGAAAACAAGACAGGTGGTCCTTGGGGTTTGCAATGTAGAGAGACTTTAGTTTTCTAAAAACAGTAGAAACTAAATAAAATCAGCTTGCTTATTGTGCCTGACACTGCAACTAAAATGCTCATATGAAAATACGTGAAAAGAAAAGGCCAGATTTTTTCCACAAGCACCAATTATTGCCAGCTAAGGTTTTTTGCTATTTATCTGACAGATACATCAAGATCAAAGATCAGCTTTGTGGAGAGAGAGGAAATAGTTCCTCTGAAGCTAGATTCTCTGGTACTAAAGCTGATCGTCTCTGGAGCGCATGTGGCGCAAGATGAGAAAGGTACAACTCACTCTTCTGACATCTCCTTCCTGTATAGCCATTTGGACAGGAGCACACATTGTTTCTCATGCAGTGACCACCGTTCTTGCAAGGAGGATTGCAAACAGCTGTGGAGGAAGAGATTGAATTTTACTGATATGATAAGTAAGTCTGTTTGGACTAGTTTATTACATTCATCCAAAGCCAATGTACAATTATGCACATATTGGGGATCATTCTATTAGAGATGTAATGAACAACAGACATTGGACCTTATTTCTGTTACAGACAGATTGGTGCATTCTACGTTTCTGAAATGGAGCATTGTTCAAGCAATGTTTGGCTAATCTCATTCTACAATAATAATAATCCTTGCATTTGGTATAGTGCCTTTCATGTCAGGAGGACCTCTCAAAGTGTTTCACAGGATACACTGTAAGGTGAGTAACTGCATATTTGTAGATGAATGCAGCAGCCCAATTGCACCTAGCAATGTCCCGTGAGATCTTTAATGTTCCCATAAACAGTCAGACACAACCTTGTTTTACTGTCTCATTAAATGGAGGATAGAACCTCCTGCAATTCAACATCCCCCAGCCCTGCACTGGATTTCGCGATTTCAAAGTCCCAGTGTGAGGCTTGAACCCACAACTTTCTGACTCAAGAGGTGAGAGATACCATCTGACACTCATCCTAAACTCAGCGCACGTGTATGTAAAACACCAATATGTTAGGTTTTGAAACTGGCAAGATTTATAGTTGGCAACGGGACTAATCTTTAAAGGTTAATGCATGTTCTGTTATGTTTCGTTTTATGCTCTCTCACAATGACTTCTGAATGGGCTTCAACCACAGGCTGTATTTTTACATAAGGCAAAGAACAATATATTAGCATGAAATTGAGAACAGATCATGGGGAAATATCTATTGTAGGATTGATTACACCCTACCAAGCCAACAAGTTCAAAAGCTGGTTAGACTAGGGCTACTCTTGGACAACACCTGGCTCAGCTGTGATACTCCACTGGCAGAAGAGTATATAGAGTGTAACTTACCATTTTGGCAGTGAAGTCCAAAGAAACCATGAGGACAAATGCATACGTTGGGTCGAACGCAGATTCCACCATTGAGACACACTGGGTTGCAGACAGCTGTGCAAAATTACAAAACAGCATTTCTAAACTTTGCTAGAGCCTCACAGGAATAAGAATTCCTCGAAAAGCAGAATATTGAAAATAATTTTTGTTGGATCCATGAGTTTATGTTGAAAAAATGGAAATACTGGGATTCTAATTTGTGAGACTCCAAAGAAGTTGTGCAAATAATAATAATAATCCTTGCATTTGATGTAGCGCCTTATTACGTCTTTGAGACGACTCAAAGCACTTCACAGAATATACTGTAAAGTGAATTGACTGTATATTTGTGGGTGAAGCGCGGCAGCCAATTGCGCTCAGCAGTGTCCCACAAACAGTCGTGGATTGAATGACCAAATTATTATTTTTTTTGAAGGCATCGTTACCCCCCGGAAAAGCGATCTGCCAATCGACTAACAACCGGGTTCCTACTTACTGTGAGGTAAATAAAAATCTAGCAGTTGCCTTGACGAGCCTTTGGCTGTTTCTGGAACTCTGCTCAGAGCACCAATTGGCATATTCGCCTTCTACTGTCTAAGGGGAGTGTCAGACAGTCAGAGTGAGACAGCCAGGTACCCAAGGGATTCTCTTTATTGCAAATTATTTCGCAAAATACTGCAAATTGGAACCCTTCGTTAAAGAAGCCCAAAAAGCAAATACAGGTGTGATACACATCTCTAGTTTAACACTTGATGATCCCATTTCATTTACCCGTTTCACAAGAAGGTCCAGTCCAGCCAGCTTTACATTTGCACACATCAGGGGAGGCACATACTCCACCGTTCTGACAGTGTCTGCTGCAAACCACTGAAAGCACAATACAACTTGTGTTTTCATGTATCTCGAGCACACGCATTAGCAACAACAACAAAATTACATTTATAGAGTGCCTTTCACATCAGGAGGACGTCCCAAAGCACTGAACAGTCAGGTATCGGGGCTTGAGCATGAGAGAGGGGTGGTGTAGGGGTGAACGAAGGCAGAGAGGTGGGAGGGAGACCAAAGGCACGGTCGAAGAGAAGGGTCTTGAGACCGGCCTTGAAGGAGGCAAGGGAGGAAACGAGGCGAAGGGACTGTGGAATGGAGTTCCAGAGTGTGGGGGAAGAGAGGCTGAAAGCCCGGCCACTGATGGTAGGGCTGGTCGGGCGGGAGACATGGAGCAGGTCGGAGCCTGATGAGTGGAGGGAGCGGGCAGGTTGGTAGGGAGTCAGCAGGTCAGAAAGTAAATCAGCAGAAAGTAAATGAATAGCATTAACCCTGGGATGTACCAGATCTAATGCCTGTACCATCTACAGAGAAGGACAATATGCTGTTTGAAGCAGGGTTTTATAGATGTAGCTTACAGCAGTAAATCTGGTGTGATATAGCAGTGAACTGGTCTAGATAATGGCAAAACATTATATATCGGTGACAAAGTTACGCATATATCACGGTGATCCATCTCCCCTGCTGTAAAAATGTCGATTCATAGCAAATTCAACAGAAACAACAGTAATTTGCATTTATATAGGATCTTTCACATAAAAGAAAATCTAAAAGTGCTTGACAAATATAGTCTTGTCACCAAGCAGGGAAAAAAGAGATTTAAAGATCTTGACCAAAGGCATGAATGAAGATATATGTTTTAGGAGCAATTTGAAGGCAAAGAGATAGATAGCAAGATAAAGGGTATATAAAGGTGGACAGAGTTGTATAAATGAGGTGGTATGATTCAATGGAGTGATTTGAAAACTAGAACAAGCATCTTAAAGTCTGAAGTGCTGAGAAGCAACGCAATTCAATTACATAACTCATTTAATAGCTCAAGTCCATTTTAATGAAAAATATATTTTTCAAATATTTCAGTTTCACAACTACAAGTATTCTGACATCAATATAGGAATACGGTCCAATTCAGTCATGTGATCCACTGCATTAGGGTTTCAACGTTTGAGGGGTTTCATGGAAGACCTGGATTAGAATTGGAATGAGAAATTATGCTCAGTGTGTAAATGCTCTGCCTGGTGTGAGAGTCCCAGCCTCAATACCTGGTTTGTTGAAGGCAAGTCATCAGTGAGTCACAACAATTGGCTTATTTCAGACCAAAGAGAGGACAAATTAATCAAGGTTCCTGTTCTTGGCATTAACCGGTGATGTCTGCCTGTACGGAGTTTGGATGAGGCTAAGATTGAGCTCAGTTGTGATATCCCCAGAACTGAACAGCTTGCCATCAGAAGTGCGCTTGGACAAGATGTTGGAGGCTGCTGGAACCCATGAAACCGCACCTCAGCAAATCAGTGCTTACAGAAGAGGAAGAGGAAGAACGAGCAGGAATTGGGAGAAAAAAGAATACAAAAATATACTTACTTGTTTCACATCTTGGTCCAACAAAGCCATAAGGGCAGGAGCAAGTATTTCTGGTCACACAAGATCCTCCGTGGTCACATGGTGGAATACATAATGCTGAACGTAAAACAAAATGCAAATCAGTAATGTAAAAATAGCAGCAGAATGCAAGTTGTATTATACTGCCATATATATATGTATATATTCAGCCATCAGTGAAATGAGACATAGTACATATGGTCTTCAACTGGATCCTATTTACTGTTCCCACTAAGATTTTTTTTTAGCTGCCTGGTACAATATCTATTTCCAGTCATTAGCTAAGGTCATCAGTTGTAGAAAATTGTCGATTTTTGAAATGAAACACTGACACCCCAGCTGAAATGAATGTATTCTCTCCCTCCCCAGGCAGTCGCTAGTGGCTCAATAGTTCTTTGGGTCAGTGCAGCTCTCTGAGCTTAAGACACATTGCTCTGATCAGACACATTTCAGCATTAATTAATTGCGGAGCTCCTCAGCGTTTGTAGCTTTCAAATTTGAAGAAATTGATTTTAGTCATTAATTCTATTCGCACATGATTAGACCATGGGCTAGGCGTTTCGGTCCCTATGTTTATACACTGAGGCAGAAGAACAAAAGGGAATTCAAAAGAAAAAAAGCACACTGCAAAACAAAAGGAAGGTCAAAAGAAGGCAAGGAAGAAGCCAACACGGAGAGCCCTAAATGAAGAATCTTTGTATCCTGAATTGGTAGCCAGTCTTCATTATGTTACAGCTTCTTGGTTTCTCTGCATTAGTAATACATTTGGCTTGTTGGTGAATGAGCCACACTATTTGCAGGTTTGTTAATGGTAAAGAAATGGACACATCTGTATGTAAATAAACCTCAACTCTCCTGTCTTCAGTCTCTGTGTACAATTTGGAGAGAGCATGAGGTTGCTTTTGCTTGTACGTTAGCTAAGCCTGGCTTGATATTGTAGTTCTTTCACATAATTACCTGCAAATGTACCACTGCAAACTTGAGATTACATTATGATTACAAGGTTGGATTAATTAACAGTGACAGACAGCATAAACTTTGCCAAGAAGTATCATTTGTATTAATATTTAAAAATAACAAAATTTCCAGCACATCATCTGGGGGTTGGAAGGGGCGTGGGGAGGTGGTGTGGGGAGTAGCTGAAAAAATAATTTGGTTCAAAACAAATTCGTATTTGACAGGTTAAAATACACCACCTTAGGAACCGTGAACATTTTCTGAAGAAAATGGGAACATTTGACTTGATTCATTTTGTCTGTTCCAGGACTGATCTATTCTGTAAAAAGCTGGATTCACTGCAAATATTTCTCCTCAATGAATATTTAATGGGAAGGAAATCACTGTTATTCGGCACCTAAGCAGGCAACTGAAGAGCGTGTGGAGAGTCAGCATGTGACCGGTCTTGTGGCTCGTTTACAGTGGGAAGAACAGGACAAGCATTGCCACAGGAACTGAAGAAGCAATACACAAAGGAGATAAACGTACGACATTTCATAGGCAATTCGGTAACAAATCTTAGATGAAATGTTGAAAAGTTTACCTCTAAGTGCAAAAATAGTGTTGTCTTGGCAAAATTTCTATTATTTGTGATGAAATCTTGTGCTTTATGGATCTCAGTGTTAGAAAATGCTGAGATTTTTCCCCATTTTTGACACTCAGAGTTGGCTGCATCAGGAACTACCGGGTCAGGTGTTGTACAATCGGAATAAAGATCTCTGTGCTCTGTTACTCAACTCACATGTTAGCTTATGTTAACACTGTTAGTTGTGATACCATTACAATGTCCAATGTGTCTTAAAAAGAAATGATTTTTTTTAATGTTTAATAGGGTAGTTATCATGACTTTTTGGTCACCCTGCACTAGTCAAACAATCCACATCATTTGTTTATCTTTTGTTCTGGATTAAGGTGATAGGACATTTCATACCATCTTCACAGGTTAGGCCGTTGTATCCCTGGGGACATTCACACACATCAGGTTTCACACACTTTCCTCTGTTTTTACAGTCAGGCCTGCAGATTGCTGAGAAAAACAACAATAATAATTAATCCCTGCAATTCACAGAGCACATTAAATGTCAAAATGTCTCAAAGTGCTTCACAGTGTCTTCTGTAAAGTGAAGTGACCAGGTAATGTACATGAACTTGGCAGACAATTAGTGCACAAATATATCCCCCAAAACAGCCATGAAGCGATTACCAATTTTTATCTGAAAGGATGGTTAGCCAGGACACCTGACCTTCTCTGTTTGAATAGTGCCATGGGATATTTAACGTCTGCCTGAGTATGTAGACAGGACATTGGTTTCACATCTCATTTGAAAGACGGTAAAATGAAACTCAAAATGAATAGCTGTTATTGCTGACATATTCTAAAGAAATGAATGCAAAGGCTTGCCCAGAAACAATAAATCTGTCTTTAAAAAAAAGCCAAACGAGGAGACTGAGGTGCAAATTAGGAGCTCTGCTGTTAATTATCATGGATGATGATTATTACTTCATTAATAAACGTGGTTGAAACAGATAATAATAATAATCCTTGCATTTGATATAGCGTTTTACGCCTCTTCTAGATGTCTCAAAGCGCTTCACAGAATAGACTGTAAAGTGAATTGACTACATTTGTGGGTGAAATGCGGCAGCCAATTGCGCACAGCAGTGTCCCACAAACAGTTGTGGATTGAAATTACCAATTAATTATTGTTTTTTTTCTTGAGGGATTATTATCAGGCGTGTGGAGTAAGGAAACTTGCCCAAGGTTTCGCCCTGCTGGAAATCGAACCCAGGTCTCTTGCTTGCAAAGTGAGTGCTCCAACCACTGAGCTACAGGACTCCCACAGATGATAGGCAAAGATTGGGTCCAAGCTGTACCGAGGGCAACATTGTACTTCGTAGGTCATGGAATGTGGTCGTGAAGCCTGGTACGGGACAGTACACGAGCTGCAGAGTTCTGAATGACCTGCAGCTTGTGGGTGAAGGCTTCCATGTAGGGTGCAAATGCCGGAATAGATCGTAAGGATCCATGTGGGAAGGCATTTTCTTTGGAAGTAGTTTTGATTTTTAATACTCTTATTTTTTTCCCTTAATCTAAGCCAGTTTTCCATTGATCATCGTTCCAATAGTGTCTCGGACTGGCATTGAGTCAAACCAATGTGATCAAATTGGAAGTGATGCGTCTGCAAATATCAATTGGCTTGACCGCATCCGTCAATGATTTTATAATTTCCACCAATGATAATTAAAACAACACACATCACAATTTTCATCCTTTTAGTACTGGAGAATACAGAGTAGCACAGAGCTCTTACCGATGTGACAGTTGTACCCAGTGTAACCTGGCTTGCAGCGACACGTATTGGGAGCTGCACATTCCATATTCTTTCCACAGGGATATTTGCATATAGCTAAGAAAACATCAAGGTTGTTAGTTGGATTAGAAACTCATTTTTTTTCTGATTTGCAACTACAACCCCTGACTGCAATACTGGGATTACACTACAAAATCAGTCATGATCATGAGAAACCAAATCACGTGGATGTAATAATAATCCTTACATTTGATTTAGTGCCTTGTCAGGCCTGCAATAGGCCTGTTTGTAACAGTACTCACTGAGTTAGTAATAATAGTCCTTGTATTTGATATAGCGCCTTATCAAGTTGTTGAGATGTTTCAAAGCGCTTCACAGCATATACTGTAAAGTACTGTATATTTTGTGGGTGAAACGTGGTAGCCAATTGCACACAGCAGTGTCCCACAAATACTTGTGGATTGAGTGACCAAATGTTTTTTTTTGAATAGATTATTATCCCTAGAAAGCAATCCTTGAATCGACTATCAATCGGGTTCCTACTTACTGATGGCTAACAGTAAGGAAAGTAAGGCGTAAAGTGAAGCGCTTTGAAACTTACCTTACATTTCGCCCCACAGCGCACAGATAATCAGCCTATTCAGAACCAAACTGCTTGCAGCAAATCCAACAGCCAGTACAGGTACATTATTTAACAAGACTTGTTTTTCCTGCACTGTCATTAACTTGTATTTAACAACGGTTTGTATTGTGTCATATATCACCTCTAAGTCCATGCAGTGAACAATCGGTGCATTTACCTTTACATGTCATGCCATCACCAGTGTATCCAAAGGGGCATCGGCCACATTTAAAGCTTGCATTCTGCATTGGCTCACAGGGGACTCCATTAAAGCAAGGCATGTCAGCACAAGTGATCTTCTTCTCTGAAGAAATCAGTTGATTACTAATGTCGGTGAAGGAAATGGCCTGAGATGTTTTCACAGCTTGTAGGGCAGAGGTAGCAGATCGCCAAAGAACGGTTGTCTTTTGTGGGTGCTTGGGTTGAACAGAGACTACAGATATGGGTCTGGTGCTCAGAGCAGAAGTAACTGTGGCAACAGACAGTGCCGAACGGATCATGGAAGAAGACATGCTTAAAGTTGTGCGTGGCCCATCTGTTCTGGGACTTGGAGGCAGCTTTGGTTTAGTGACTGCTCTTTCCATCACCACTCTGCTATTGACAGCAATTTGCCCGGGAGTAGTCCTTTGACTGGGTGACCACAGCCTAGCCGTCTCGCTGCTCGCTCTCACAAGGGGAAATCGGTAGTGATGAAATCTTGACTTGGCGTGGGGGGAAGCTAGAGTAACAAGAGACAAAAAGCTAGTCATGAACATACTGCAACATGTCTCAAATCATTTGAGTCAATGGTTCAAGTTCTGGGAATACAGGAAATGAATTTATGTTCGAATTATAGTATTTCTTTCCTCCGTTGTTCTTCATCTGAAGGAACTGACTCCAGGGAGGATGCTGGCAGCTCTCTGGTTCCTTGGGCCCCAATGGCTTGTATTTTAACTGTGAACTTTTGCGTTGAGGGTCAGCAGGTCATTTCACAGTGGAGGCTAATACAGGTGAGCAGAATGCTATGCTCACTTTCCAGCAAAGCTCCAAATTCCTCTAAGTCATTTTAAAGATTCTTCAGAACGTTTTAGATTAATACTGTAATTTGTTTCACCCTTTATTCTCCAGATAATGATACAAAATATCACGGTTCTATTGCTACCTGAGATCAACATAACCAGAGACTAAAAAGTAATTGATCTGCCTAGTTTCTATGGTTCAACACCTGCCTAAGCAATATACAGTATTTACCTTCTGAAGCATTGGAGGAATTAGGTGTAAAGTTCAAAATTGAAAGGCTTGAAAGGATTATCACTAGAGCTGTCACTGTTGGCAACTGCATATATATATTAAGGTTTAAGAAGAGTGCAAAATTATGTTGCTTATAGTGAAAACATGAAGGGGTATCATGCATCTGAAATACCTTTAATAGCCTTTCCTTTGCACAATGGAGAAGCAACGGGTACCATAATAATCATAATACTTGCATTTGATCACATTGTTGAGATGTCTCAAAGCGCTTCAAAGGATATACTGTACAGTGAATTGATTGTATACTTTGTGGGCAAAACATGGCAGCCAATTGTGCATAGAAGTGTCCCACAAGCAGTCGTGGATTGAGTGAACAATTTATGCTTGTTTATTTAGTAAGAAGGACCCCCAATGAAATGGAGTTGGCCTCAACAACTCCACTCCTGTCGCACAGTAACCCCACACAAGTCACTCCGGGTGGATGGGAAATACAAAAAGCAAACATATGTTCTTAAAGCCGTTGATGCTGAGTCTGTTATGGATCTTGGAAAAACTGAAAACTATTACAACTGACAGTGAAAGTACAGCACAACTCCATTAAGGAAGACCTGGCATTTTTATGTCTCTTCTGTCGAAACGTTTCAAAGTATTCACAAGTACATAATGTCAGGTCTAGTTACTGTTTTTGTAGGCAATGTGACAGCTGTTTGCTGCAGAAATGTTAAGCAAGTAACCATGACATGAATGACCAATTGATCTGGCGGATTGTTGGCTGGAACAGCAGGAGAAATTCTCTTCTCATTTCGAAAGATATCCTATGATCTCTAACATCCACCTCAACAGACAAGATGGGATCTTGGTTAATGTCTCATCCAAATGAACATAGGAATTAAAGATCCCCTTTGCCAAAATTAGATGTAGGTTGATTTAATAAGAAGTTGCAAGTTCCTTTCACATCTTTAGATCAGTGAAAGCTGATTGAAATACAGAAATAGTTGGTCAACGGCACCAGAATGTTGTTGGATTTTTATTTTGGAACTGTGAAAGGGATATAGGGTTCATGTAAGCAAAATGCCTTCAGTAAGTTAATTCAATTTGCTGTCAAGCAACATCTGTAAATAATTTATTCTGGAACAGATTTTTATAAGTCCAATACGTTCCAAGTTTACATTGCCTGAAGCTGTGCCATTTGGAGCATATGTCCCTGGATTGTAGTAAAGTTATTGTTAGTAAACCCTCTCCTGCTTTGTGGCTTTAAGCATCCAGACTTGACGAGCCATCGAACATTTTAATGCCACAGTTTGAAATATGTTTTATTTCGATTTAAACTTCATTCAAAGCAGCAATCTTTGAGGACTACTTTCTGTTGCAACATGATAAGGATAAGAAAGTCAGTTTTAAATTGGTTGAGTACTTGATGATACACCAGGGTACTCATGGGTGCTTAGGGATTAGTTCATGATCCTGGCTTACAAATTCAGCTTTATTCCAGCTACAGGAGTAACCTTTCATGCTTAGTTTAGTTGACTTATGGAACAGAACACTAAAGGCTATTGCAGTAAAAACTGACACGTGCTGGGTTATGGTTCCTTGGGTGCCAGTAGCTCTCTGGCAGCTAACCATTTTTTATGTTTGAACATAGACAGTGATATATATATATATATATATATATACACACACAAACAATCATCTACACAGATTCACTGATCCGAATAACAATAACATTCGCTGTATTTTTTCTGTTTGTGTGAACTTGTAGGAATAGTCGTGCTTGTTTTGTTTCAATGAATTAACATGAGTGGTAAATATATCAGGAAAATACAGTAGTTTTATATTTAGGTTGCCTTCCTATTTAAATCTAGTTTATTTAGGAAGTAGCTGATCTGATACAACAAAGCACCGATTACACAACAACATTTGTTTCTAGTGCTAGGAGGAACTCTGTATTATTGACTGGTTTGTTTGACTAGAACTACAGTCAATAGACTTTACAGAGAATTATTTGAAGTACACTGAGACATTTTGATGTCAAAGGTGCTATGTTAAATCAAGAAGTCACACTATCACATATGTGTGTGTGTTCGTGTAAAAAATATGTGGGTGCATGTGTGCATAGACTTATTTGGGATTTTGAATCTTTTATTTGAATTATTTTATTTGAATATCAGTGATTGAGGTTTTACTAAATCAAAGTGAAGTCAGAATGAAAGCAGTTTCACTGCAAATAATGATTCAGTCATTTTGTTGCCTATGCCAGCAGCTTTTCACATGTGTCCCCTTTGTAACTATACACTGCAGCAGCAAGCAGCTTCAACAGGGGAGGGAATTGCGCATACTCAATGTAGCTGTTACCTTTGCTGCTAACTGAAACATAAAGGGCGCAGTTGTTCATGAAATTGAGCATTGTCGAGAGGAGGAAGCTGCTGCTTAGGGAGTTCCTTAACACAAACCTATGAAATGGATGTGACCTGCTATTATCCTGCGATGGAGTTGCCTAGCCAGTATCTGCAAATGAAAATGGATTGCAGGATATTTCCTAAAAAATGGACAGTAATTCTAATGTGACAGTTGCAATGTTGAGTCAGTGCATGATTCCAAGTGAATGGGGTCCACCGTGCAACTTCAATTCTGAATTTACATGAAGTTATAATGAGATTGCACATTATTATTATTGTATTTGATATAGCACCTTATCATATCATTGAGACATCTCAATGCACTTCACAGAGTATATTGTAAAGTGAATTGACTGTATTTTATGGGCGAAACGCAGCAGCCAATTGCGCACAGTGAATAAAATCTTACACCTATATATTGCCTGTCCACACTTACCAATCCGTGAGATCTTCATACATGTTCGTCCGGTACCAAAGAAGCCTGCAGGGCACCGCCCACAAACAAAGCCCATGTAAGGTGGCTTGCGATCAAAACACTGCACCCCCGGAAAGCAGGACTTATTTGTGCAAGTAACCAGATTTTCCAGGGCAAAGGTAAGACCTAAAGTAAAAGATGGCAAGTTGAGAAATCTGAACAGCTCAAAATAGGTTGCCAGTAATAAATTCACAAAGAAAATTGGACTGCATGCAAACAGTGAACCATAAAATAAAATCTATAGGAAGGTGGCAAGCAAGCTTAGCAATGCTTCTTAAACAAGTGGTTACTATTGGTTACGAAAGGCAATAGGTCTGGCAGGCTGCTGCTTATTATCCATATTTTCCAATGTTTCCCTCTTCTCTCCTGAAGGTGGTGACATATGCCCGAGTTTCAGTTCCTCAGTGTCTATAGCCTTTGGTATCCTTCTCAAATAAATAGTATTTCTTCAACTATAAGCCTCAAGGGCGAATTTCAGCAATAGCATATCACTGGTGTGGCATACAAATAGATATAAATTAGAGATTGCTGATGATCACCTCTATCAACCAACACCTTTTTTCAAAGAATAAGTCATTGATGGCTATTTGTGACACACCTTGATCATGCTTTTTAGGAAAGTTGGATGTGTGCCTTGTACATTCGCTGCACTGATCCATTGCATCCGTTGGCAGGTCAGGTAAGATATTCTTACCCTGAGATGGAATTCACATAATGCTTGAACCAAGACATCATCGAGACATCAAATGAGATGAGCACTGATGGTGGGCATTGGATTTGCATGATGAACATTTTCAATCCATTTGGAACAGATGGATTGAAAATGGATTGAAAATGCAACTTGCAACTTGCAACACTTTGCAACTCCCTTTAAAAATAACTGGTTCAGTGTCTGCGTGGGAATGACATGAAACGGTCTAGGGAAATTGCAGACTGAGGTGAGAACATGAACAGTGGGACCCTGTTTACAATGCAGGAGTTTGGGTCCATAAAGTCAGACCCCTGTTTATAACAAGCCATGTTATAGAGTGTCTGTCAATCAGTGCTTTCGTGATGTCATGGCTCTGAAGACTTTGTGGGTGTCATCACTGACCCATGCTATGACCAACCGCTCTCATCCTTTGGGCATTAGGCAGCATTTTCACAGGATTTTCCATCAGAAGACGGATTGGTTGGGAGGAGTCCTAGATGGAGCAAGTATTACATAGTTTGTGCAAGGAGTGACCTAACGGGCCAAATAGTAATTTTCTGTTCCATGTGTCTCATGCTACATAACACTTCATTTGAAAAGAGTTCAGCGATAATCCTTTAAGTGTACATTTGGGTCTTGAGGATACAGTCCGGTAGCTTAGCGGTTAGAGCACCCACCTCGCAAGCAAGAGGGCCTTGGTTCAATTTCCGGGCAGGTTGGGCAAGTTTCCTCACTCCACAGACACTCTGTTTACCTAGCAGTAAGTAGGAACCTGGTTGTTAGTCGATTGGCGGATCGCTTTTCTAGGATAATAATCCCTTCACTCATTCCACGGCTGTTTGTGGGACACTGCTGTGCGCAACTGGTTGCTGCGTTTCACCCACCAAACATACATTTAATTAACTTGGGGGCAGCCAATTGCGCGCAGTGTCCCACAAACCATCATGGATTGAGTGACCAAATTATTATTATTTATTAATTATTTTTTAAGGGATTATTGCCCCCGAGAAAGCAATCCACCAATCGACTAACAACAGGGTTCCTACTTTCTGCTAGGTAAACAGAGGAGTGTGGAGTAAGGAAACTTGTCCAATGTTTCGTCCTGCCCTAAAATCAAACCCAGCTCCTCTCGCTTGCGAGGCAAGTGCTTTAACCACTGAACTACAGGACTCCAATCTATAATTTGTGCAATACTGATGAGAGAGAAAAACATCCTGCCCACAGTTCTTGCCAATTTGTATTTTTAAGATTGAGAAAGAGATGTAAAACCACAATAGATAAAACAATCCCATTTCAAGTGAAGAAAGGGATTAGTATAATGAGAGATATCATTGAATGACAGCTCATTGAAGTGGAATTTTTTTCCCCAAACTGACATTCTGTGAACTGCAGAATGCTAAACTGAACCAACCACAGTTATGTCTGAATGGATTTAGTTGAAAAATACAGCTGTGTATCATTTGAGATACTCTTTCATTTACAGGAAAGTCTGCCTCGGCTGTGATTTATTCCACTACAGATAGACTAAATAATATCGCTAATAATGACACGTTCTACAGAGGTTGAATTAAAGATACAGTGCACATAGTACAGTGCACATAGCAGCTGTTAACATAATGTGAAAAGAATTTAAGATTTTATCGCTACCCCACGACCAATTCCAGATTGGACAGTGACCCTGGCAGTGGTTCCAAAAACATATTTGTGGAGGAATCTAATTATGTCATTGCCGAAGATTGCAGTGAAAATCAGTCGATAATTATCAACCAACTGAGAGTATGAATCCCCATTCCACTCCCCTTCAAAGACTTGAGCACAATAGTCTCTCCCAAAGCCAGGGCAAAGTATTTGTTTGCCCCAACTATTGTTGCCACTTCACGGATTCCAGGTTAACATATCTGAGGTACAAAGGTTCCAGCGGATTTTTTGTGTGTAAAATACTCCAGTCAATGGTTTACAGTCTTTTCCCAAAAAGATATGAAGCCGTCTCCTTATATTTTAACTGTTTAAATAATTTGCATTTGATAAAGTGCTTTTCATTTCAGGAGGAAGTTTCAAAGCACTTCACAGGATATATAGTAAAGTGTAGTGATCCTGAGAGATGTTGAAAGTTTTAGAGAAATTATACTGGGTTATTGAAGGGCAAGTCACATATTTTCCACAGACTAATACAAATGCATGAGCGATCAATATTCACTGAGTGATAGCTAACCCTGTATGCAAGGAAAAGAGTCCACAGGCACAGGAATTGGTGCGTGAAGCTTCACACTTGTGATTCTGCGTGAGTTTTTTTCTAATTGATGCACAGTGTTGAAGTGCAGCTGTGGTGGCAGATGCTTTTGTGTTCCTGGCATAAACAATGAGATTTAGCTTCAGGGCCAGTGGCTCCTGTGGTGCTGCTTCAGTCATACCTTGTAGAGAACTGACAACCTGAGTACATCTCTGTGATGTTACACAGATTTAATTCTTGCGTGCAATATACAGCAGAGTCACTGAATCCACTGATCTGCGTGGTTTAAGAACTGTACAAAATACAGTAGAAAAAGAGGATTGGAAAAAAGATCTGAGCTAGAACAGAGGGCTCAGGCGGTGTATCATTGAATCTTACAACAACTTGCATTTATATACCACCCTTCACGCACGGTAGGATCTCAGAGTGCTTAACAGTGGGGGAGCCTGACTCCGAGCCGGTGGGGGGGGAGGGGTGGGAAGTGGCCATAAGCACGGTCAAAGAGGAAGGTTTTCAGGTAGGACTTGGTAAAGAGGAGAGAGGGGGCAAGGCGGAGGGACTGAGGGAGAGCGTTTCAGAGTTTCGGGGCAAAGTGGCTGAAAGTGCGACCTCCAATGGTGGGGTGGAGGGTGTGTAAGGACGAGCAGGAGGCCGGTGCCAGTCGAGTGGAGGTGAATGGATTTGAACACGAGTGTGAGGATCTGGAAGTCGATCCATTCAATGATGTGGAGCCAGTGGAGCATGGGCCAGAACTGGTGAGATGTTGGTACAGAGTTTGATCCGGGTCAGTATGCGGGCGGCAGAGTTCTGAGTGAGTTGGATCTTTTGAATAGTGGAGCTGGGGAGACCGGCGAGGAGTGCGTTTGAGTAATTCAGGTGGGAGGAGACAAACACATGCACGAGGGTTTCGGCTGCATTTAGGGTAAAGTACGGTTGGAGGCGGACAATGTGGTCAGGGCCCAGATGTGGGGGAGGAAGGACAGCTGGGTGTCGAACCGGATGCCTAGATTGTGCATTGCTTCAGTGAGTCTGAGGGCGAGCCCTGGTAGGTTGAGGAGTTTAGATCCGCAGGAGTGAAGACGTTGACGGGAGCCAAGGAGTATGGCTTCCGTCTTGTCCATATTCAGCTGCAGGAAGTTTGCACACATCCAGGCCTTGATGTCTGTCAGACAAGCTGATAGAACATTGGTGGATCTGGAGTTGGTCCTGGAGGAGGCAAAGTACATTTGTGTGTCATCTGCATACATGTAGACGTTTACCCCATGTCTGCGGATGACATCGCCCAGAGGGAGAATATAGATAAGGAAAAGAAGAGGGCCAAGGATGGAGCCCTGGGGAGCCCTTACAGCACAGAAGGAGGCCATTTGGGTCATCATGCCTGTGCCAGGTCTTTGAAAGAGCTACTAACTAGACCCACTCCCCTGCTCTTATCCCCTAGCCCTGCAATTACTTCCTTTTCAAGTACCTATCCAATTCTCTTTTGAAAGCTATTATCGAATCTGCTTCTACCACCCTTACAGGCAGTAAAAGAATCAACTCTTTGGATAAAAAAATTCTCATCTCCCCTCTGATTCTTTTGCCAATTATCTTAAATCTGTGTCCTCCAGTTACCGACCCACCCACCAGAGGAAACAGTTTCTCCCTATATGCTCTATCAAAACCCCTCATAATTTTGAACACCTCTATTAAATCTACCTTCTCTGCTCTAAGGAGAATAATCCAAGTTTGGGATCAGCAGATGGATTTCAGTGCCTGAATAGCCTTACATTTCTCTGCAGTCTGTAACACAGGAAAACAACATTGTCAATGTAACAGCAAACTCAATACATTGAATGTGCTGGAGAGGAACCCCTCACCCACGCCAACCCCCACCAAGACCCCCAGTGCTGTTCTCAATGGTAAAGTCTGCTGTTGAGTCAGTGATATTCCAATCCCAGTGGGCAGCTTTCATCTGGCGCTTAGCAAGAAACCAACTATTCTTGAGGTTTTGTTCATAAAAATGTGGTGGTGTACCACTAGTCGGCAGACAAATGCCACAACCCACCCATCCAATGTTACAGGTCTGGCTTCATTGACATCAGCTTTGAGAATGACATGGGGGGAGGGGGGGGGGGAGAGGAGAAAGTGTTATCAGCATATTCTATGTGATAAGTAACAAATTGATCACTGGATTGGCCTAATTGCATTATTGGTTTTATGTAGGGATGAAGGTACAACCATGTTTTCTTAAAGATTTCTGTTCTTCTATTAATTAATTTCTACAGTTAATTAACTGTAAACGTTCCATGTTTCCAGTTCCAGGAACCTTATAGAAGAACAGGAATGTATAACCGGTTATTATATAAAGCTCTCCGAGATGCTACCCTGCATGGAGGGCGTTATATAAGTGCAAGTTGTTGTTGGTGCTATCTGATCAAGAAGCTGAATGTTTGGAATTGAAGAAAGTTTTCGATTCTCATGAAGTAGCAATGAGTGACTACTCTCTCAGATTTAGTGACTTGGCCTTCTCAGCGTTGAAAGTTTCACACCATTCATCCATTGCTGACTGATTCCATCTTTGTCTGTTATGATTAGTTTGCTTTCTGACTCTCAGATGTCCGTACAGAGTGGTGTCATCAGAAAAGACACTCGTTTTGATGACCTCCACCAGGTCATAAAGGACAAAAACAGACTGAGGTTGCGAATGATTCAACGTATGCGTCCTTTGTGAGTAATTCAAGCATTTCGTTCAAGTATTAATCTGACTGACACCCAGAAAAGGACAACATACCATATTATGCTCTATAAATAATGTGGTCTGTTGCTTTAACTTCACGGACATTTAGAGAATTGCTTGATTTCAGGACCATGAGATTGAGAGCAATATAATTCAACTGCTTTGTGACCCGCTTGTTAAGAATGACACGTTGCAATAGCTTTTCATTTACTAGGATTCCCATGAGTTTTAATAGTAGGAATTTTAGTCGTGAGAGTAGTCTATAGCTATTGGTGTCTGATTTTGGTGATTTCTTCTGGATAGGCATGATGTATGTTGCTTTTGTCTCAGATGGGACAAAACCGCTTGAAAAGGACATCGAAAGAGATTACCCAAGGGAGCCGCCACATAATCAGTTTGAGGTTTAGTAAGTAAGTACCTTTACATCAGGGCTAGATATCTTTTCTTGTATCAGCCTTTGAAAAAATGGTTTCACTTTCTTGTGTCAGATCTTGCTTCGCCTGATTGGGTTGTTACATCTCAATGTGGTTTCTTGGACATGAGCTGAGAATAGTGTGAGATGTAGCAGTAGGTTTTCAACAAACTAAAACTGACTCCATATGTATTACTAATGGTGAAGCATCAAACGTCACCTTAATATTCACTGCCCCTTTCGTCAAGGCTCATCATGTTTTGCCCACAAAATATATACGGTCAGTTCACTTTGCAGTGTATTTTGTGAAGCACTTTGAGATGTCTCAAAGCCGTGATAGGGTGGTATATCAAATGCAAGGATTATTATTTTATTATTATCACAAACGTTACAGATTGCAGGAGATGTTAGGGGACGATTGTGACGTTTAATGCCTGCACCATAAACGTATTTTTCTGTCAAAGTGAAGAAAATATAAATGTGGCCTAATGTGTGTGGGGTTCAGATCACCCTGTGTGGAATGATCTTTTAAAACCACTGTACAGATGTTGGGCAGATGTGTTTCTTTTCCAGGCTGAAGCTCGGGCTAAATTACAGAAAGAACAATCGCATTCATATCACTTGAAGGAACTGGAAGAATTCAGATGGCGCTTTGCCGAGAAAAGTGTCAATTCTCTGGTCTTCTGTCATTAGTGATTATGAGACAGTACTTACGTTTGCAGGATTGTCCATCACCTTGCATTTTACTGGGGCAACTTCCACAGTGATAGGATCCAAAGCTATTGATACAGGGGACTCCAGGAAAACACAAGCCTTTCTCACATTCATTGACATCTTCTTGACATGCAAAACCTGCAACATAATATGAAGCAGCTAAGAAATATCTGCATGAGGCAAAACAACACATGGAAAGAAAACTGACCCGTTCCCACCAAAAAAATTCACCAACTTCTATTATTTTCATATCAATCCACAAAGTGCAGTACTTGTCCAGAATTAATTTTGTTCCCATCATAGCAAGAACATAACATTTTGTGGTAAAGGTGAGCACCGCTAAATGTGTTCTAGGAGGTAATTTTAACATCCACCGTCCTACCATGTACAGACAATGGGGTCGTATCATTTGCTGCTCGCAAAAGCAGGCATGTGAAATGAAATATTTTAGAAAACGGTGCATGCTGTGGTTGAGTTCAAGGTGAAATGCAATTACATGACAGGAACATTTGTTTACATTTTACATCAGAGGTTTAATACGGCAGTATATTTTTAATACCTAGGGTTAATAACTGCAATTAAGCGAATAATTGGTGAACCAAGAAAGCAATTTCAAACATGTTCAGTGATGAGGCGATGAACCTACCTAGATTTACACTGGGACTTCATTTCACAAGTCAAGATGATGAAATTTACATTTTTATAATATTTCAGCAAAATCGCACTTTTAGGATCAAGCAACATCAACAAAACCCCACGGTAAGGTTGAGAATTTGCTGAACAATAGTGGCCGCATGCAGTTTACTAATGCCAAACTTTCACTCCATCGTTATCTTGTATTTATCACTCATTATTTGTAGAATTCACGAACAGCCATTTAGTATTTCTGATATTTAAGAAGATACATTTTTGATATTTTTAATGAACCTTATCACGTCTTCAAGAAGTCTCAAAGCACTTTACCTAATATACTGTAAAGTTAATTGACTGTATACTTTGTGGGCAAAACTCGGCAAACAAACAGTCGTGGATTGAGTGACCAAATTATTATTTTTTTTTTGAAGGGATTATTACCCCCGGAAATCTCTAACCACTAAGCTACAGGACTCCATATATATTCATATATAATATATTAATAAAGTTAGTTTTGCACATCGGAGAATTTGGTTCTGAGATCTCGGGTGTCAAGAGCAAAGAATGTGTTTGTTGCTCGGTACATGGACTGTAATCAAAATGAGACCTTATCATTATCTTGAGGAGTGCTGTAGACATATATAGTTTTGAATTAACGAGAATATTGAATATGAATGCTGGTAAATCAGCATAACTGCTTTGGACATCTTATTCTTAACCCTTTATGTCCTGGGCACTGCAACAGCTTAATGTGAAGAAAATGAAGCACGGATTTACCGATCAATTAAAAACCTCTGGCAGAAAAATATAGTAAGAGTCTCAGCCATGCTCAGCAATTCTGAATAAACTGAACAGCTGTTAGCAGTTTTGGAATGGGTGAATGAATTCTCAGCTGTCATCTGCGACGGTTCTCATTCCTTATTGTACTTGCAAATTTTAAGTACTAACTGGTCCCTGGTCTTTTCTAACTCTGTGAGTGTGAGTCCCTGCTCAAAGGTGTCTCAACTGAGTCAGAATCATGTCACTCACAAGTATTCCAGGTTAACTCCAATGCCCGGTAACTGGGATGTCGAATCGGAGTCTGTCCCCATTGCCAGAACTCCGATGTCGACAGCTACTCTTTAAGTAATTTACTCTTTTTGTCTTAGAAATTTTTACAGAAGACTCGAGGATACAATCGGTAAACACAACAGCTCTTTATTAAGACCTAGCAACCCCAGGCTACCTTGCAGATAAGAAACACAACAATTTAAGATAAACAAGAATGGGATCAAATATAACTAACGCGCATAACTATAACACCTAGCAGCACAATACTACATTAGTATAAAGTCATTTAAACCAACCTGACGGTACAGTAACTTTGTATATGTCAGTGCGTACCAGATGATGACATTAGTCTGTGACCACGAGGCACACCAAGCATTGCTTTTTATAGGTGGCTCTGCCCACCATCTGACGCGAATGCGTGTGGCTCTGCCCCCCCCGAATGCGAGGGCTTTTTCCCGCGCGAGCGTCCATGTGACTTTCCAGGCTGTTTGCTAACTGCCTGTCAATCAAGTCCAGATGTTGTTGCAACTTGGACACCTCAGGTTCTCTTGCAAACAGCTTTTTTCTTAACCAAAATCTAATTAAAGGGACAGGCTTAAATAATATTATATATACGTTTTACTGAGGGGTACAAAAACAGGGTAACCGCGACACATCTCTTACTATAGAAGTAAACGTGTCTCTCAAACTTCTATCCCAGATGATTTTTTTTAAGAAAGAGAAATTTCAATCTTTGAGGGATGTGCAAAAAAAATACACAAGGAACTCACATGTCAAGCATCTCAACATAGTGATTCTACCCTATTCCTGCTGCTTGGTTTCAGACTCTTTTGCTGTTACTGCTGTCCCTCTTTCCAGAGCTTTGCAACGCATGCTCTCTATCTGATTCCAGTGGCAATAGAATCAGCAGCTGCATCTCCTACGTCTGTCAGTTCTGATAATTTGAGGACTAATAAAGAGCAAAGTGGGTCAATAAATGTAACATTTGGACAATCACTCCTTAACATGTTTCAAACTCTCGTTAAGAAAAGATTCCCGATGGATTCAGGGTAATTCTTGATACCAGATTTCATTTATAGATTTTGAAGAATCCAGCTTGGCTCAACTTCCATGAAGATTCAATAAATCACCGGTTGTTCCTTTCTTTCTTGAACCCTATTAAGAGCGATCTTCTGATCTCAAAAGATGGCATAGAGGTTAGCTGTCTGCAGTGCTTGGCCAGTAAGACTCAAGACGGTAAAGAAGTGGAATAACCGAAGCAGCAAGAACAGATGAAACCGTCTCAATTCAGTCAATCAGTGAAATCCCTGTTAAAAAGTTTCTATTCTGCCGATTGATACTGTGTTTATTTTTAGTCAACAGCCTGATAAGAGAGGTGAACAAACTTTAAATTGTCTGCCGTTAAAGATCCCATGGCACCATTCAAAAGGAGAAGGAGAGTTTCTACCAGTGTTTCAGGCAACTATCCAACAGATAAAGCTAGTCAAAAACAGAAATCGCTGGGAACACTCAGCAGGTCAGGCAGCATCTATGGAGAAAGGAAAATGAGTCAACGGTTTGGGTCCACGACCCTTCATCAAAACTGTTCTGACGAAGGGCCATGGACCCGAAACGTTGACTCACTTTCCTTTCTGCATAGATGCTGCCTGACCTGCTGAGTGTTCCCAGTGACTTCTGTTTTTATTTCAGATTTCCAGCATCTGCAGTATTTTGCATTTTGCTTTTAGATAAAATTAGTGATTCACTTCATGGCTATTTATGGGTTATTTTTGATAAAGGAAATTCATTCTGAGTTCATTCTGAACAATAGAGGATAGAAAGTAACTGACCTAAAAGGAAGTTTAGGGGGATTTCTTTATGCAGATGGAGATGAGAACTTGGGACTCACTGCTGGAAGCCATGGTGGAGGCAGAAAGTATCAACATTTTTAAGCGAAAACTTGATGCAAAGGTGAAGGAGAAGCTTAGGAGTATAGGAGAAAGGATGAAGAGGGAAGGAGACTCATGTAGTTTATAAACACCAGTATGGACTAGTTGGGCCAAATGTCCTGTAGCAGTGCCTTTGTAAATCTATGACTCATTCAAAGCATAGCAACTCCAACAATACCCATAGTTAATGGAGCATCAATCTAGACTGATTCTGCAGTGAAAGGGGTGTACTGAACAATACAACACAAATAGTTATTACCAATTCTTCTGAAGTTCAATTAATATGCCGGAGATGCAACCGACACTGAAAAACTTCAAATCTTTTTATATAATTGTGACTCTCATTTATATTATTCATGATACTCAACAATATAATTTAGTACCTGTGAGACCAGCTGGACAATTGCATGAATAACTGCTGACACCGTCCACGCAGGTGCCCACACCACATGGATTTGATTTGCATTCATCTATGTTTTCCTGGCAAACCTCCCCTTCAAATCCGACAGGACACACACAGAGATATTCACCACTTCCTGGGGGGAAATTGATATTTGTAACACATGTTCCACCATTTAGGCAGCCACATAGCTTCACTGCAACCTATAAAGGTAAAGATGACAAGATAATATTTGAGATAGTTTAGTTAACATCCTAATTGTCTTTTATAATACAGTATACAGTATACTGGTTACATCAACCTCTGTAAACAACGTTTAACTGTATATTATTTTTACCCAGCAAAATCGGACTCAACAGCAACAACAATACAGTAGAACCCCATTATATATGCTTCGTTGTATTGTGGGTTCACTTATAATAATAATCCTTGCATTTGATATAGCGCTTTTCATGTCAGGAGGACGTCTCAAAGCACTTCACAGAACACACTGTAAAGTGAATTGACTGTATATTTGTGGGCGAACGTGGCAGCCAATTGCGCACAGCAATATCCCACAAACAGTCGTAGATTGAAAATGACCAATTTATTATTGTTTTTGGTTTTGGAGGGATTATTATTAGGCGTGTGGAGTAAGGAAACTTGCCCAAGGTTTCGCCCTGCCTGGAATTGAACTCAGGTCTCTCGCTTCAAAGCGAGTGCTCTAACCACTGAGTTACAGGACTCCACGAGCTACAGGTCTCCACGAGCTACAGGACTCCACAAGTTGCACTGCGGGCTTCAACATTTACTTGGCTGGTTCCACTGCCATTTCAAAATTGTACAGCAAACAGGATAGTTTTGGTTGGGTGGGATTTTACCAATTTACATATAATAATGGGGGCTCCACTATAAGAATAACCTGTGAAGCAAAGTGACAGTGGATTTGTAGGCAAATGTGGCAGTTAATTTGTGTATTACAGTAATTCTACATGATTTCCAAAGTACTTCTCACCATAATAAAATGCCTCTGTCTACCTTTGAAGGTTTCACATGATAATTTATTATAAGAGCTTTGGTTTGCCGATAACATATCAAATTCAAGCGGACACTCAGGATAGAGGCATCAATGGTACTCACCTCGACAGAATACCTGCTCTGTGCATTGCATTCGTCTGACACAATAAAGCCAAAGGTGCCAGATTCCTTGGAACTCACTTTCCAAATCAGAAGCCCTGCAGGTGAGAGGCTCGCATTCTGCGGACCAGATTCCAGCAGGAATAGTACAGCTGACCCTTCAGGGTCCACCGCTGTGAACTGGTAAACAAAATTTTCTCCAAAGAACGTTTGTAGATTAGAAGTGGTGTCTGCTTGGAAAATTGGCGGTTGATTGTCTTGTTGATTGCAAGAAAATAAACGTGAAAGAGTTTAGAGTAAATCCAAAGGCAATATTGAATTTATATGGGCAATTTTTCATTTAATTTTATTACCTGATGTGCATTAATTATAATACTAAAATAATACTTGCATTTGATATAGCACCTAATCACGCTGTTGAGACATCTAAAGCGCTTCACAGAGTATCGTAAAGTGGATTGACTGTATATTTTGTGAGAAGTTCACACTTTTGCATTCTTATTTTACGAAAAAAAAGATTTTGTTTTCCACAATGGCTTATTTCCATTTTGATGGCCTACTGTGTTTTCCACCAGTGCTTTCCACACATCTCATAGAATACTAGTAAAGTATCTTAAACATGCAAAATATTTTTTGAATTTTCTCTTACTTTCATTTACAGACCACATGAACTTGGAAATATCAGGTCGACAGAGCAAGCAAGAACTTGTTGGGTTGGCATCTCCTTCACCATAGCACAACCCATCTATATTACAGGTCTTCTCCTGTGTGCAAGAGTGAAGCTTCTTATTTGGGATAACAATTAATTGGGTCAAACTCACACTGATCACTCGAAATTGACGGATTACATAGATTTACATTGAACATTATAACATGGAAACAGGCCATTCAAATAGGCGCTGCTGGTGTTTATACTGCGCATGAACCTCCACACATTGTATTTCTCCTTCCTAGTCTTCTTTATTCCCACTTCCCTTGAGTATGCATCATGTTTCCTCTTAAATAATCGGATGCTTTTTGCTGCAATCAAAGCTTCCAGCAGTGAGTTCCACATACTCACTCATAAATATATTTTATATCTTATATTTTATATTTATGCTCATCAATTTGGACTCATAAACAAGTGGAAATAGCCTACATATGTTCACCTTATTGAATCCTTTCATAATTTTAATCCATAATTTTTAAATCGCTAAATCTTTAAAAAATATTTTTTTTCTTCTGCTCTATGGGTTCAGGTACAGACACTGGTTTCAATTTGTTTGGTCAGTTTTTCCAGTGTGTACATTATTAAACTGGGCAGCTCAACGTTAGCAGATGCGAGATGCAATTTGTTCACTTGTGTAACCTGCTTATCAAATCGCTCAGTGAAAACAGACCAGGGAAAACCCAGCTCAATTAATTTGTGTAGGTCAGTGCAGGGTTAATTTTGTGACATTGAAGGAAGATTACATCGTGACCCTAGTCAATGACCAGCAGCTGAGCTGTTAGATCACTGAGCTGCTTATTGCAATCAGGGCACGAGTGGTCATATATTTTTAACATTAGGAATGTGGGATGGATTGGAAATAATTGTTTGTTGTATTGCTTTTCAATCATTGTAAACGTAAGGCTACAGAGCATTGTATTATATATTTGAGATTATGTTTGTACATTATATTACATATTTGAGATTAGCATTAGATATTTGACAACATTCACATTTTGTGCAGCAATATTCAAAATGTTCAAATTACCTTCAACTTACAGATTCCTGTTGCCTTGGGGTCACAGATCTGACAGACACCATCATAAAGTGTCAGGACTTTAGAATCACTGAAGTAGGAACCATCATTTGCAATCTGTCAAGTAGGAAACAAATGCATTTTCAGGAAGTTCATATTATTTTCGTTTGTACACAGTGTATTGTGCACTATTGATGTGACAAAAGGTTTAGGATTTTGAAAATAATTTCACAAGCGTAAATAATATTAAAAATTTAAAAAGATAGTTTCAGGAGCAGATAGATTCACATCCCTGCAAATGTAAATCCAGTTTCTGACATTTGCAAATGGTGTCATGACACGTTTTTTAAAAAACTCTGTGGCTCCTTATTTATTGCTGGGCGACTGTGCAATGCTGTTGGTTTTAAGCAGCCAGCCTGGGTAATTATTTCATGATTTATCACAGTAACAGGTGATTAAAATGTCAGCGGGAGTTTACTCTGCCTGACTGTCTTTCAGTGTGTGCAGAAGTCAAAGTCTTTACCCTGTCAACAACTAAAGTCAGTGTAAATTTTCCTGGAGACCTTCAATAAACCAACCTTGTAAAGGTTGTATATTCCTAAAAGCTGGACATTTGTACGTTCCTAAAGTAAAATTATGTGCTTTCATCCCCAAACATCCATCTTTGCTTAATTCACTATATTAAAAAAAAACTGTCCTACTTACAGAAACAAATTGGGAAGACTGGGACATGACAGAGTAATACAAAGGAGCATTCCTTCCTGACAACAATAAAAAGTACACAAATGGTACACAAGGATTGAGGTTTCTCTATGGTGCTCCGGTAGATACTGGTAGCAATGTATTCTTCTTGATGAGTGAATAGGCAGATTTGGCATTTCTATTGCCAGTTAATGACTGTAGCGAATGCTTTCAAGACCAATTAAACTCATTCTTAAGTGAGCTAAGAATATACCGAGTTGCAACATTAAAACATGAAAGGGTATTCTGTCAAAGTTGAATCAGAACCTAGATAACTCCTGACTGAAACGCTGGAGTGCCAACTTTTAAGGTGTTACAAGTTATCCTGGTTAATGTAGTTCCAGAAAAGGCAAGGCAGCAAGGCAAGACTGTACAGGTTCAGAGACTGATTAAAACTGGATATTGGGGTTTCAATTGCAGCCTTTCTTAATGCGATTCACTCATAATGACTCAGAGTCAAGAATGGAGACTTCTTGCAGAAACCATGAACCATGCCAAGTCAGCATCACATCAGAGCAGAGATCCTGAAGGTTAATGTGATGCAATTGCGATTACTGAAAGGAGTCCTCATTAGTGACTCAATTATTTTTAAAGAATCCTATTAAGAACTACTGTTTAGACTCCAGTGATTATGACAATGGTTGCTGCAATGACTAAATGGACAGTATGGTACCACAGCATTAACCCTAATTTTCTTGGATAGGAAAGAAAGCACATAAACATGATCGTTAAATGTGGTTGAATGCACCACGTGGTTTGCACTGTGCCATAAAGACGATGAAAGTCTTAGTTTGAATCCATGGTGTGTGCTGAGTTAGCAAACAGCTGTCCAGAGAGTATAGGCAATACATAGACTTCAGTATCCCTGGGCAAGAGAAAGGAACATTGTTTCCTACCCCTGACCACAAGACAGTGATTCTCCCACTGCACATAGTGCTCTGGGTTGCTACCCTATGTGAGGGGCACTGTAAAAATGCAAATTGTTGTTGTTATATGTGAATTCAGCTAAGCTCAGAGTAATTGCTGGAGTAAGATACAAAAGTGCCCCAGTAACTTGGAGAAACATCCTTTGCTTGCGAACTTCCATTTTCAGAAGCAGTGAAGAGTGAAAAGAACAAACTTTTTTCCCCCATTGGGAAGCAAGACTTCATAAAGTGAGAAATCAATTTCACAATGCATCATGTACACAGGAGAATTGTAATAGATTCAGTCAGTCACAAGAAATTCTTACCTTTATCTGCCACCTGGCAAACGGTTTGTCAGAAATCATGAAGTTCACAGTCTCAGTTGTCATACTTCTTAGGGCTGGAATAGGGCAATCAAGAGCTTTGGAGCTGAGGAATCTTGCCTTGGTGATCTGCGCAGGGCCTGGAATCCATTCCCCATTCATGTACTGCTCTCAACATTATTAGAAAGAAAGCTTTAGATATGGATGAATATGTTGCTCATATATTATTCTGTCAGCTCAATACTTTCCTCAAAAGCTACCAAGAACCTTTCACTCCTACCACAAAAGATTTACTAAAGCATCATAAAGCAATGCAGATGTTCTTTCAGTGCTAACATAACCATGCAGATATTACCCTCTAATGGTGATACATTTGCAACATTTCGTAACCAATTCAATTTGGCACCCAGCTGAATAGGTTATGAAATGGCAGAATTTCAGGTTGGTAAATCTCAACTGGTTTAAATGTCTGATTCCCTGCCCCGTAGCTTTGACAGAATGGTTTATCCTGAGTGTATTTTAAACGACTTTCAGCTGCCATCTTGGATTTGGGCCGAATATAAAATACACTGTTATCAGTTCAGAGAATTGAGTTTGAAAGAATGTACAGCACAGAAACAGGCCTCTTAGCCCAACCAGTCCGTGCCAGTGTTTTTACTCCACTTGAGTCTTTATCCTTACTCCCTCTCATACCCTTCTATTCCCCTCTCCCTCATGTGAAGGTCTAGCTTCCTCTTGACTGTATCGGTCTGATACCGCCACCACTTCAGGAAGCGAGCTCCACAATCTCATTACTCTCGGCATGAAGTAGTTCCTCCTAAATTCTCTTTAAACCTCCTAGTAGCTATCTTATATTTGTGTCTCCTGGTAATGGACTTTCCAGCCCATTTACGTTAACCTTATTCAACCCTTTTATAATTTTAAACACTTCTATTAGGTTCCTTTCTTAAACGTCTATTCTCTAGCGAACAAAGGCCTAGTCATTTTTCCTGCCGAAGCGAATCACTTTGCATTTTCCTATATTAAACTTCATTTGCCATCTATCTGCACATTCTGCTAGCCTATTTATGTCTTCCTGCATTCTTCACTGTTTACCACGCCCCGCAGTTTGGTGTCATCCGCAAATTTCGACACTACACCTCCTCTACCTAAATCCAAATCATTTATCTATTCAGTGAACAGTAGTAGTCCTATCATGGATCCCTGTGGAACACCATTTCCTAACTCTTACCAACCTGAGAAGGTACAGTTTGCTAGCTCTCCGACAATTCCGCATGCCCTTATTTATAAAAGGCCTTCTGGAAATGCAGATACAGTACAGGGCAGCATCGAATGCCACTTAACATGATACGAGTTAAGCTAATATGCTATTTTGGATGATCAAATATGAGTGGGAGAAGGGAAATTGTTGGGTCTGAAGATGTCTGCGTTTCTGTAAGTGATTGGTCAAGTTCATGTACAAAACACTCCTTTTACTATTGTATACATCTTAGCAAATATTAAATTAATGTTACATCTATTCGTGTAAACTAAACTTTCTCTGTGTAAGATTGATTCACACTTTTTTTCAAATATATTAAACAACAACAACAAAATTACATTTATAGAGCGCCTTTCATGTCTGGAGGACGTCCCAAGGCGCTGGACAGTCAGGGGTCAGGACCCGAGCATGGGGGGGTTGTGGGGTAGGTGTGAGGGAAAGCAGAGAGGTGAGAAGGCGACCGAAGGCACGATCGAAGAGGAAATAATAAAATAATAATAAAATAATGGAAATAATATTTGTGCACAGATCTATTCATTTTGTAAACAATTTATTGTTTGTATTTTCTGTTACAACCTAATAAGAGTTTGCGGTTATCTTCACTGGAAAGGAGAAAGTGTCTGAAAATATATCTGCTTGAGATTGCCTGGGTGCAATACTTACCATTAGACTTGTAGCTTCACACTGGAGGTCAACAGAGTCTCGGAAGCCCAGGCCAAACACTCTGATACTCTTGCACTCATATACTCGTATATCACACAAACCACCGTTCTCCAGATCAGTGATCTCAGGAGGTTGGTCTTAAAACAGAAAGAAAATAAGACTGTCAATATAAATCTGAATTATGAAGGACATTAATAAGATTAATGAAGGAGGGCAGTTAGAATGTGGAATTCTCTGCCACAAACTGCCATCGAGACAGAGTCCATAAATTATTTGCATAGATGCTCGAACAAAGGAATATTAAAAGGGTCTGAGTTGTAAGCAGGACAGTGGGATCAGATTAGGTGGCTCATGTGGAGAAAGTATGATCTTGTACTTCTTCAGCCAAGTTGCTTATTTTTATGCCTGTAACCTATAATAAATTTAATCCCTTTCAGACCCTTTTTGACAGCATATAAATCTCACATGTTGTCAGTACTTAAACAATGCCACACCAAATACTTGAAAGTCAAACATATTTTGTTCACGGTGCGGCCCAAATTGTAAAGTTGCAAATAGATTTGTACCAAACAAGCTTCAGGAACTGGGATGTGTCGCTGGTCAACCTGCTGGATCCCCGCTATGACCCCAATTGATGCTCATAATAACTGAGCAGAGTTCCAGAGGGTCAGACTTTGACGATCTTGGGTACTCGCTATAGGAATTGCAAGCGACAAATCCTTTCTAGGACTCTCACAAATTAGACTCCAACATGGCAAGGTTTTAAAAACTGCCGTGCTGACATCAGTTCTTAGTCGGGGATGACAAATTTGGCAGTTGTTGAGATGTGCGCACTTCAATAACTAATGTTCCACGTTGAATTGTCTGCAGTTTTGAGCAAGACATGGACATCTGTGGTAAAAAAAGAAAAATGAAGTGGGAGTTTCTAGCGATGCAAAGTTCAACAGCATTTCAAAAGTAAGTCAGCTAAGAGTTTTAATCGTAAAACCCTGATAAAAATTGAAACATTACATCTTCCTCTTGGTGATATGAATGATAGTCCACTTTGAATTGCACTTGCAATATTGCCAATATATATCTCACAACATCAAGTGCAAAATATATACTTGGCAGACAATTTGGTGCTAATCAACTGCAAATTAATGGATGATAATCCTGCAATGATGACATCCTTTTAGAGAAACATATTTCTCTCGGGGTCCTGGGCAAGAATCCTGCTGATAAAATTGGCCTGCCACTTGATAGCTGTTTGTAGGACATTACTGCACACAAATTGGCTGCCACATTCACCTATAAAAATGTCTCTAGGCTTTACAGTAAATCCTATGAAGTGCTTTGAGACATTTCAATGATGTGATAAGGCAATATATGAGATGCAAGGATTATTGATCATCATTTTGTGCGAATGCCATTGTACATCAAAGGCACCAAGGACATCATCTTGTCTTTGGTACAACTAGCCCAAGATTGAATAAAACCTTATTATTGGATGAAGATTATACTTATTACATCTGCCCTCCCCAAATAGTGCTGAAGACTCAATAAAGTGTGTTGCAGGCACTATCACTGAGGTAAAAATTAGTCATTTACTGCCATCAAAAACAAATCAGTTAAGGTACAAAGATGGGTGGAATTTTTAAAAAATCTTTTTTCCAATATTGAGAAGGAAACAAATCTCAGTACTTGGATTGTAGCCAAGTTTCTGGAACAGTTAAAACTCAGTGGTTAAAAACATTAATTTTTTTAAAAAGACCTTTCATATATATTTTTAACCAGCAGCAGATGGCAACCCTTGAGAAATGACAAATAGTTGAACACAGTGTGTTCGAAGTGCCCTTGGATAAATCTTATCCACATATCACAGCCTAAGGAAGAATATCTGAAGAGGCAGCATCTGTTTTATACACAAAAATTCAATGCGTCAGTAGATCTTGTGTACAGTTCATTACCAGTGCCTGTCTACTCTTTTAAAATATAGTTATAATATGGATTACAGTTTCAGTCTTCATCATAAATATAGAAGCACGGTTGTGGGGTAAACAAAGTAAAGCTGAAGTTAACATCAAATTGTTGGATATTTTGGGAAGAAGTGGTTTCGCAAAGCACACGGTTTGGTAATGAGATTTGTTGTTTGACACAAGCTGATGATGAACATTGAACAAGAGTTTAAAATATTAATTTCCTGCTGGAACATTTTGACAATTGAATTAAGCCTGATTAAACCAACCTGCACTGCACTGAACTGGTCCATTAGGATTCATTACATCCTATAAGTCACAATTCTACATGAACTTTGTTCCACAATTTATTTTCGATCATCAGAAACCCAAGTTTTGGGATTCTACAATAATAATAAACCTTGCATACAATATATTATCATTTCGCTGAAATGTCTCAAAACATTTCACAGGATCTACTATAAACTACATTGACTGTGTGTTTGTTGGCGAATGCAGCAGCCAATTTGCACACAACGATGTCTCACATACAGCTATGAAGTGATCAATTTTACCTGGAGGAATGCTGGCCAGAACAGCACAAGAAATGAACAGCGCCACTTTTAACATCCACCTAAATAGGCCAACAGAACCTCGGTTTAAACATCTCAACTGAAGGATGGCACCTTTAACAATACAACGCTTCCCCAAGGCTGTACTGGAGTGCGAATCCAAAGTCCCAATGTGGGGCTTGAACCCACAATCTTCCCACACAGAGCTGAGAATGCTACCAACTGAGCCTGGCTGACACCTAAGTCATGTGTGAAGCTCATTTGTAATGAATAAATTGGCAGAAATGGAAGGCCACTATTTTACCTGGGTTGTCCCAACTGAAAACAGATAAACAGCATGGTGGGAGGTAAAATCTGCGCTTGAAAATACTGGCTTACCCTAATTAGAGTGATTCGGCAGAAGGAATAAGATGTACTCTTCAGTATTTATAAAAATGAGGAACACACATTCCACTATGTATATGTAATCCTTCCAAAGTCTCATACAAGAAACTTGTTTTTCCAGCTGTATTAATGGGAAATATAAAATTATAGCTGAGCCAAACTTTTACACGGTTAAACCAGGGAATAGGGGGATTTTTAAACAGCTTGGTTCTGGCTCTGATTCTCAAGCCATTTGATAGGTTTATGCATCAGGAATCAGTACATTTTGAACATCTGTCTACTGCAGTATGATTCTCGAGATATTACTTTTTGGAATTGCAGCAAAATAGGCAATTAAAAGTGCAGATTTGATATAGAATTAAACATAACTGTTTGACTCTTTTTGTAAAGCCTCAGTCTCTAGCACTAAAATCTAGAAGACAAGATTTTGTTTGAAAAGTAATTAAAATATTTTCACGCGTACCATTAGATATGCTGCAGTCATAAGAGCTGTATCCAGGAAAACACTGGCAGCCCCAGTGTGTACATTGTCCATTCTCACTGCACAAATTAGGACATCGGAGAGTAGTAACAATCTCATCAACAGGCCCAGATGAACCATCCATGGTCCATTTAATTCTGTTTTCCAAGAGCTTTCTCTCACATTCATTATCAAGAAATGGAACCATTGCTTCTTCCCAAGCGAGATCATCTTTAAGCTGCAAGTCCAAAATACACATATCCACTGCATCCACCAGCCTTCTTCCAAGGTGGTCTTGGCACATGACACCAATTGTGGAGTTTGTAAGTGCTTGTTGGCATAACTCAAGGGCTTTGGCAGACGTCAGACCACTTGGTGTTGGCCATGTTGGTTGCACCTCTGGACGATTCCCAGATAAGTGATCTTCAGGGAAAAAATAAGTAAAGCTTTCCAAATCGGTCTGGGTTAAACTTTGGAATGTGAATATTGGTAGGTATTCATAATAACCCTGCCTTTTTGCTCTACGTGTCGTAAACTTCGGTCGAGCAAAATCAGTTGTGTGTGGCCACCTGGGAAGGTTCATTGACTGATCTGTGAAATGGTTACCCTTTGAGGTAATTGCCATCGTGTGCTGTGTTCGAATAGACTTCAGTAGATCCAGGTCTCCATTCACCTTGTCAGAAAACCAATTTACATCACGTTTTGTGAACGTTGATAGTTCAGGGTTGCTTATGTATTCTGAAGTAATATCCAAAAATGGAATTATCGAAGTATAATCCACATTATCATACGCATAGCAACTGGTTGAGACATGAGGATGGTTATATACTGTGGTCAGCTTGTTAACTGAATGAAGCGACATGGTGTATTCCTTCTGACAGCTACAGTAATTTATTCTTTTCTCTGTCTCAGATGGTGGCGGAGTCGAGTCAAACATGCTTTCCCCAGGATGTATTCTAAAATATAGCACACACATGCACAAAATAAGACAAACAGAATTTTTTCCTCTCTAATCTAATCATTTGTTTTGAACGTGTTGTACACAATATCTTTAAAACAATGACACAACTCGGACTGTTTTAAAGTCCTATTGGGTTTCCATTTGACATTGGATTTTTGTTTCAAGTAAATATGAGTTGTTGGATCCATGCATACCTCCATTCCTCAATGAAGTCATTAGGATTGTTATTCCTATGTGCAGCTGCCATAGGATTTCCATTAGCAGTGTGGAAATCATTATTACTATTTCGGTCAAAGATTCCACAAAGACCTCTTGTGTTGTTGAAATCAACGCTGGGCGCCCTTACAGTTATACTCATTCCCCAGTCACTCACATCTGCCCGGACAAATGCCCCTGATGGAAACATGATCTGTGTAAGTGGAAAGAAACAGAGGAAAACAAATTTTAACCAAATATGATCTACTGGAAAACATGGCAATATTAGTTTTATAACAATGCCTGTGAAAATGTGGATTAGAGCTAAAATATCTTCCAGTGCAATAGCACATATGTTCTTTTGTGCTATCATTGGAAATAGAACGAATGTATGGCGTATCCAGATTGGCTGCAGCAACTTAAGAATAGGATTCGGTTCAACTGTCACTTGCGGTCAATTCTGAGGTAACTACCGAAAAGTTTTACACCCATTTTCTTGAGGCAAATTTTGTGCTGTGTAAAGCCACCTTCTAATGTGAACGTTGAAAGCTCTTATAAAAATAATAATCCTTGCATTTGATATCACTCCTTATGACCTCATTGAGATGTTTCAAACAGCTTCACAGGCTATATTGTAAAGTGAATTGACTGTATATTTTTGTGAGCGAAACGGGGCAGCCAATTGCGCACAGAAGTGTCCCACAAATAGTCATGGGTTGAGTGACCAAATTATTATTCCTATTTTTTTAAAGGAATTATTATCCCCAGAAATGCCATCTACCATTGCCTAACAACCGGGTTCCTACTTACTGCTAGATAAACCGAGGCTTATGGAGTAGGAAAACTTGCCCAAAGTTTTGCCCTGCCGGGAATTAAACCCAGGTTCTCTCGCTTGCGAGGTGAGCGCTCTAACCATTGAGCTACAGGACTTCCAGTGTGAACATTGAAAGGTCTTATATGTGACAGCCCTTCTCACAATGTTCATACAATTATTGTTTCAGCCCATGCGTATAATGCAATTCTTACTGGGGAATTTTCTCTTTTATGTTATCAGGCACACATCTACGTGAAAAAAACAAGAGCATTAATAACTAAGAGTTCCAAACTCTACTGCAGGCTGTCTAAGTAAGCAACCAATAAATGATTACATGAAGCAGTATTCAACTGGAGAGTTAGGTAATAATAAACAAAATAGACATACAGTGACTTTTTTGCCTTGGTGTGAATCCATTATTTTGACATGATGTGGTTCTGGTCCACTGCTCTTCACTGACAGGTGAGGGCTGGTCTCCTGAAATTGGCCATTGCACATGTCGAATGCAATGATGTCATCCCCTTCCCTGGCCACCACGCCGCAGTTACAGGACACTGTGTAGTGGCGGCTGCCACAGTCCCACTGACGGACATGAACTTCGAATTCTCGGGAGAGGCTTTTATACAGCATAAATGTTCCAGTTTCATAGTTATCATAACGTCTGTAATAAAACACAACATATTGTTGGCACAGTGGAGCTCTCAAAATGAATCAATTTGAAAAAAACATTTACTTTAATCAAGATTTAGCCTTAAAGGTACATTAAAATTGATAGCTAAAATGATAAACATTGATTTTCTGGCATTCAACCCAATGGCATTGAATACAAAAGTTAAAAAGCAGCACAAATTGATACAAGACTTTGATTAGACCAAGGCTGGCTTACTCGTTGCATTTTTGGGGAAATAACATTAAAAACCTAGAATATATCAGGAATGAGGAGCCAAGAGTTATGAGGAGAAGCTTGAAAAATTGGCTTGACTGTTTTAACTGCACATATATCAAAATTCTGAAACGTTTTGAAATGATAAATAAAGATTATTCCTGCTGGTTTGTAAATTGGTAACAAGGATAGACTAAGCATTTAGTCTACAAAATACACAGCACTTTACAGTAAATCCTGTGAAGCGCTTTGAGACGTCCTCCTGACTTGAAAGGCACTATATCAAACACAAGAATTATTATTTATTATTATTACTAAAATTTATGGGGAAGTTATAAGAAACATTTTTATGGGAGAACATGAAGTACTTTGCCACAAGCTGCTGCTGAGGCCTTAACGATATTGAAGAGGGAATTAGATAAATATTTGAAAAAAAAGAATTAGGGTTAGGATGAGGAAATTGGAATTAGCTTCAGTGCAGGAGCTTGCACCAGAAATGTTTGATAACTGAGATGATTCTATGTCGTGAGTGGCTTTACAAATACAAGAGCTCAAAGCATTTACAAACAAGCAGCTGGTGGTATTAAAAGAACACTTTATCACTTTCGTGTTAATCCACTAAAAATAAGAGATATCAGAGATTATGAAGCCATTGTGAAATGATGCTACATGTCTTACTTAACACAATACAATGTAAAAATTCACATAGTGGAGCAAAAATAACATGAACTGAAATTGTAGTCTATAATTTGTGCTCGGAAACAAGATTTGATGCTTCCAATTAACAGATCACAGTTCTGTGAACTGGACGAGGTGACCAGACAGGACATAAATAATTTTAGCAAAATACATTTTATCAGAGTTGGTATATGTAAGTTCTATCATGTGTAATTGCTATACTTTGCAAAATAAAGGGCTAAATTTAACCTTCCTGTAAATTCAGAGGCACAATAACGTTTTGTTTTCAAACTTTGTGGTTGACTAAATCGACTAAACTGCAATCCTAAACATGCACAGATGTTGCAGACAGTTAGCAACATTTCAACATGAACGATGCTTCAAACCAGAGCAAGAACAGTAATGTAGCTGACCTATAATAGGACTTGACTGATAACTCATTGAAAAGCAAAATTTTCCCTCTATTTAATCAATCATACTTAGCAAACGGTTTCTGAACATGAAGGGAATGAATTGGTGCTTCAGCAACTGTTCTGATTAACATGCTTCTATCCTATAAAGTTTTGTGATATCAAGAATTGCAATCTAATTACTACCAAAAATTCTGAAACTCAGCTGAAATTTCAAGACAGCTGTGGCAAATTATATCAGGGCCGATGTCCACGTCCAAACATCTTTACTATTCAAAAACACAAAAAAACTTGCTAAAGGCTTGCACCACTCTGCCCCAGACACAGTGTAACAGACCTTTCGATGATGATGTGAAAAAAATATTTATGGTCTAGACTCCAGAATGAAAAATAATTTTCCCTCTGACTGCTTCTTTCATGAACCTTTCATGTTTTCTCTGGGCTAGTAGGGCAGATATAATCAAGAAAATGATAGTATAAAAAGAGATCTATAGGTCTATCAAGCAGTGGGTTGAAGTCTTTATTTTAATGTACAATTAGCTGATGGTAAAGTATCAGAAGCGTGGGCATGGTATTATTGCCCATCTACATTGAATGCTTCCTGTTCATTGCCTCTGGAGAACTATTGCACAAACATTTATGTGCTTACACATGTCTGACAGCTCTACATTTTTGAAGAACCCGGGATGGGATGGTTGCTGAATATACTGACTGGCACAATTGAGAGTCATTAAAGAAAAAGGCATTTATATTTATGTCATTAGAAAATGCATATCCCACTTTAATATAATAATGAGTCCCCTTTCCCTGCTTGGTATAAGGTCGACATGGTTTCACCTACAAAATACACAGGCACTACACTTTAAAGTAAATCCTGTGAAATGCTTTGACATGTCCTTCTGATGTAAAAGGCGTTATATCAAATGTAAGGATTATTAGTAACAGTGTTGCTTGAATTTTAGTCCTTGTGTAATCCATCTTGAAACTGTATTGAAGCGGTATTAAACTTGCAATGCCTGCTGCTGTCAGCGGATGCTGAAGTGGGAATAAAATTCTATCCTAAGCACTGGCACCTCACAGAAATGCGCACATTTTACCAAAGAAGAAGAAAAAAATCCTAACTTTAACATTTATAAAAACTGACCTGCCATCAAAAGTAATAATATGCGGATCAGTGAAGGAATAGCAGTTTCCTGTTGGAATATCTTGAACAGTCACCTATATGAATGAACAAGAAACAAAGGTAAAGGAGATTTTTCTGAAAGGGCAAATAAAGTGGCCATTATTAAATTAACGTTTCACCCAAACCTGAATGGAAATATACTAATGATGGGCACAAAGTGACAGCTGAACAACCTGAAAAGGAATCTTTCCAATAAATTTAATACAATAATGTAATGTATGATAATAAGATAATACAATAATAATATAGATATTAAGCTTAAGACATAATCTGATCCAAATAGTAACTATATTAGCAATAACCTTCAAATCAATGACCCTTCAACAGCCTTTCACTCTGTAATTAGAATCTACTGCACAGAATAATTCTGTGATTGATTGGGCAATTTAATTACACAGAATTTAATTTTTTCACACAATAACTTGGAAGACTTCTGGCCCAGTTTACCCTTTAAGATTGAGACTGACAACGTCCTAATTTATTAGCAAGAACTTTGTCCTGCTTCAACAAAAAGACTGCTTTGCAAACATCATTTCCTCAGTTGCACATGGATCAAATCCTTCTCTGCAAAATGAGTATGCAATCTGGGTGTGCCATCAATTGTAAATGCAGAGATAGAGATCTTGGCCTCAGGGAGATTAGTGATAAAACAATCAGAGACAACGAGTTACTTTGCCTTGCTTCCTCAGATGGGTTCAAAAACATCGTTGTCGGGATCTCAAAGCAGGTTAATTACTAAAAAGTGGGATGTGTGCAGTGTTGGTCACCACATTGTAAAAAAGATATTAGAGCTCCAAAAAGGGTCCAGCATAGATTCACGAGATAAAAGGATATTACTATGAGGAGAGGTTAGATAGATTAGCCCTTTTCCTGTTGGGGCAGAGAAGGTTGAGGGAATGATATCATAGAGATGTTTAAGATAATTGAAAGTTTTCAAAGAATTGATTGTGAAAATGTCTTTCCAATGATTGGGAATTCGAGGACAAAAGGGTATTGTGACAAGGGAGATAAAAGCACTGGTTCGTAAGGATTTCTTCTCCCAGAGGATTGTCAAGAGTATGGAATGATTTGCCAGGGGTAGCTATTGGAGAAGAGTCGATTGAGGCATTTTTTAAGAAAATTGGGCACACACTCAGTGGATGGGTATGACAGGGTGTCGTCACGGAAGAGCCAAACTGGGCAGGATAAATAAATGGAGGAAACACAAATTCTCTCAGTGGATAGTGATTTGACACTTGTTAACTCTTTGTAAATGTGAACTAGCAGATACCTTTCTAAATATATTTCAATGGAAGTACATTATTTTCATTGTTTTACTTCCTTTGACTACGCTCATGGCTTTTGATCTGGGGAAAACGTTAAGAAATTTTTAATTGATAACCAACCTTTATGTCCTTCGGTGAGTATCCCCGCCACAGCGGATTGGAAGATTTAACAGGCTCAATCCTGATATTGCTGGCACGGTTTCCATCTCGGGCAAAGTCTGTTACAGCCGTCAGGGAGAGGGTGGCTCTTGCGCAGCTGCCCCCTGTACAGGGCATCTGCACCAGGTTTACTCTGCACGAGGAGAGAGCTACATTTGGGGTTGCAAAACGTAAGCTGTCTGAAAATAAAAAAGGAATATGAAAGACGCTGAACAGGTATGTGTTTGGTCAGAAGTTAAAAGGTTGAGGAAAATAACGTTTTTAAAAAAAAGCGCTTGTTAAACCAGCTACCTTCAATGTCTGGCTCGGTTAATGCATAAGCCGGAATTTTCTCTACACTGAATTTGCTTTACATTGTATTCAACACAGACTTGTAACTGAAAACAATGTGGGATCATTGTAAACAGTGATTGTGTATAATCCTCACGAAAAGAATTAAATGGAAGTTGTACCAATGCTTGAGCAGATCTTTATTGATCTACACTTTCAGTTACTTACTGTCTGTAACATTCTGAATTATGGCCAAGTTTGCACCAAATAGTTCATGATTACATTATGTACAAGATTGCAACTTAAACACGTGGCATCAGTTTTATACTCAGTTTTTCCCCTTCCTCTTCTGAAGGTGGTGATTTGTGCCACTCGCTTGTATCTTGTCCAAGTGATCATTCTTGACACTCGAGGTTAGACAGTGAGTTTTCGCAGGTTATTTAGCCACATGGGATAAGGCCTGGCATCATACCTGAGCTTCATATGGTTCTCACCAAACTACTAAATATATACAAATTCGCACAGGCTGATTGGATAGTAGTCAGGAGATAAACCCTTGCTGATTGTTCTCTCCCCAGCACAGAACAGAGCAGATTAATTCATAGGAAACTAGCCAATGCTTGATAACATTCACGTTTCAGTTCTGTTCAGTGCAGCTTGTAATGTATTAGCAAGATAGAATTAGAGCTACCTCAGTGGGCAGATTAATCAGGTATTCACCAGAGCTGAAGAGAAACCACCCCTAAGGAGTTCAGAACATGATAGATGTAACAACATAATGAGAACTAGTGTAAGAAAATCGCTATCACGTGTTTGACAAAGGACCACACAAACTCCATCACAAACTGATGTCAATATGTATCAAGGGTGCTTAATCAACTTATATATGGACTTCAATTTGAAATTGGCTGAAGGGAAGGAAGCAGAGGGTAACTATTAGATAAAATAGGGGCAGCTGCCTCAAGATGAAAGATCTGTACTGGGACTCCTCTTGTTTCTTGTCTACTTTAATGATCTGGATTTGCAAAGGGTTTACAAAAAGAGCTTGATACAGCTGATAACTGATGAACGACACACTACAGGGAAATGCAAGGTGCTGCATATTGTAAGTAAAAATTGGAGGTACATTTACACCACCACCAGCAACTTGCATTTGTATAGCTCCCTTCATGATGGGCGCGTCTCAGAACGTTTAACAGTGGTCGAGCCGGGTGAGGGAGGAAGTGACATAGGCGCGTTCGAAGAAGCAGGTCTTCAAGCTCAACCTAAAAATTGGGAGAGTGGGAACAAGGCAAAGGGATTGAAGGAGAGAGTTCCACAGCTTCAGGGAGTAGTGGCTGAAAGCATTGCTGCTGATAGTAGGGCGAAGGGACCAGGGGAACAAGGAGGAGGCCGGTGCCAGTCGATCGGAGGCAGCGGGTAGAAGTATAGGGAGAGAGCAGGTTGGAGAGATACAACAACAACTTGCACTTATACAGCGCCCTCTATGCAGTGTAGGGTCTCAGGGCGCTTAACAGTGGCGGATCTTGACTCTAAGCTGGGGGGAGGTGGCTGTAAGCACGGACGAAGAAGAAAGCTTTCAGGTGAGACTTGAAAGAGGGGAGAGTGGGGGCAAGAAGGATGGATTGAGGGAGAGTGTTCCAGAGTTTTGAGGCATAGTGGTTGAAAGCATGACCTCCGATGGTGGGGTGGAGGGTGCAAGGGACGAGCAGGAAGCCGGTGCCACCGAAATAGGGGGCTGCCAATGGGTGAAGGGATTTGAATACAAGGGTGGGGATCTTAAAATTGATCCACTCTGTGACAGGGAGCCAGTGGAGTTTAGGATAGAATTTGCCAAAGAAGAAGTTGAAAGAGATCCAAGGGGTGTTAGTTGACTCATTGCTCACCGGGTCATATACCTTGAGGCATCAATAAACAAGGCAAATATGATATTGGGCGACATTACGAATCAATTTCAGTTCATATCCCTAGAAATGATGCTAAAATTGTACAGTTCTCTGATCAGGCCTCACCTAAAGTAGTACACATATTTCTCGTCACTCTAACATAAGGGAGCTGCACAGACCATAGAGACAGTGCGGAGATGAGCAACAAGCATGATCCTCAGGGTGAGAAGAATACAATATAAGCAGGAATTAGGACTCTTAGTCTTGAAAAGAGACATCTCAGAAGGGATCTTATTAGAGGTGTGGAAGATTTTAAAAAGAATTGAGAAAGTCAACACAGAATAAAAGGGCACAAGTTCAAGTTCAAAGGCAACAACAACAAGTTGCACTTATATAGCACCCTCCATCTCAGAGCGCTTAAAGGTGGCAGAGCCTGACTCCAAGCCGGGGGGTGATGTGGGACGGGTGGGGGGGAGAGGTGACCGTAAACACGGTCGAAAAGAAAGGTTTTCAGCTGGGACTTGAAAAAGGGGAGAGAGAGGTCAAGGCGGAGGAATTGAGGAAAAGTGTTCCAGAGTTTCAGGGCGTAGTGGATGAGTGCACAACCTCCAAAGGCAAGTTTCAGGACAGACGCCAATGGGTAATTAATGTCTTAAATGGGTTTCCAGGATGGGTAGATGGGGCAAAGATGTTGGACTCCAATGTCCGCTACAGTTCCATCTCCCACCAATTTAACTGAACCCAAACTCCGCAGCCTGTATTCTCACGCATACCAAGCTTCATACCCCCATCCCCTCAATCCTTGCCAGGTTCCACTGCAGAATAGATCGACTTGAGGTTCCTCACACCAACTTACAAATCATGCACACCCTAGCACCTCCCTACCTCTCTAGCCTGCTTACACCTCACTCCACTATCCACCCCCTTTCTAGACTGGCTATAGCCTTTTGGAGACCGTAGATGGCATTGGTGCTTTCAGCCACTATGCCCCAAACCTTTCGAACTCTCTGCTTCAATTCCTCCGTTCCACCCCATCCTTGCCCATCTTCAGATCGCATTTGAACTATGCCTATGGTCAACTGCTCTCTCTCCCTTGGTTGGTGTCAAGCTCTGGCACTGTGATGCACTCCAAGATGCTATCTGCATTAATTGGACTATATAATCGTTGTTGTTGCTGGATTCATTTAAGAAACAGCTTGATGCTGTTAAGAGAGGATGATGTGGTGTACTGTGGAAGAATGAGATCAGATGGGCGGAAGTGCCTTCTTCATTCCGAAATGATCTTGTGAATAAAGAAATTACTTTTATAATATGCATTGTAACAATAGCAGAATGATAGTCACTGCCTCTGAGGGCACGAGCTGTCATGTTCTTACACTCTGTGTAATCTCTATGGACCTTTCCCCACATGAGTCCCCGGCTAAAACATAAGGTTGTGATTTGTGTTGCTGCTGGGATTGTGGAATTTGTTCCATACTTTGGAGAGTGTGAATACCAGAGCACCAGGATACATTTTACAGGATACAGCTTCAGACATATTTTCAAACCCACTCTGCAGCATCCTAGGTGGTGTAAAACCCTATAAATAGATCAATGCTATTCAGCGTGCATTGCCACTGCATGGAACATCTGCTTTAAGGTACGAAAACAAGAACAAATGGTATCAGCACACGCAACGTTGCATTCAGTAAAATAATTCAGCCATTCACTGTCTCTCAAGTTATTGCTTCCATTTTACTCATGCTTACTCTGGGCATAAGCATTGTTCTCATGTTAAACCACTCTGGTAACACTTGACCTTCTTATGCTTTTTTTATACTATGAGCTTGCCTCTAGTGTCAATGCCGCCTCTTGAAGCAATTCATAAACAGGAATAGTCCATCCTAGCATCAAATTTGGGAGAACCTCATTTAAGTTACATGGGCAGCAGTTTGTGCATGCACAAGATGTCACTTTTTTTGTTGCAAATATTCTCTTTAAGTGAGGAGGCAATGTAAGAATGTTAGAGCCTCTAAATCGGGCAGTTCCTCCGTTTGGCGCTACCTTATGAGCAATATAAAAGCATGGATCCACAGTCTGACTCTGAAAGGCAGTTTCTTATTTTGTATGATTCAGCGCCGAAAGCTGCAGCTGCAGCTGCCAAAGGATTGACAGTGCCCAAATGTTTGTTCAGAACACACTTAAGTGAAGGAGAATAATTTCAGGTCAGCAACCTAAATTGCTGACGCATTTAACAGAACCCAAGTACGGCTGAATCCTAGTTTTGCCAAGACATTTTAGGGTTGCTTGAGAATAGTTAGATCTCTATAAAACAGCCCATTTAATCAAGGGTTCGGCTAATCAGTCAGAACAATATTCAACTCGTCAACAAAAAAAACATTTATATGAAAAGCTTTTATAATGTGTTGCTGTTTGTGGTTGAAATTTGGCAGGGATTCATGTTGTTTACTGTTCTGGGCATTCAAAAAACAGACCATTGGAAAACATGTTCTGCTCTGATAAAGCCTGTGTTTTGAATTAATAGGCTTGGCACAGAAATGCTATAAAATAAGAGTGAATGGGACTTTTTGGTTTTGTTCCGATGGCGTTCCATACTCGGATCATTTGCTCTGCTGGAACCAATTGACAACACTTCCAGCCATAGAGAGATTCAGAGTGGAAAACCTGGCTTTATATTTCTTGCTCAAAATAATTTTTACTGACGGACGTGGGGGGGCAGCACGGCTATTCAAACAGCACTGTCACTCACGCTCATAAACAGAGAATTGAGCTAAAGCAGAAAAACAGATCAATAACTTTGAGGTACCGATTTATAATAATAATAAAAATCCTTGCATTTGATATAGCGCTTTTCACGTCTTCTAGATGTCTCAAAAGGCTTCACAGAATATACTGTAAAGTGAATTGATCGTACAATTGTGTGTGAAACGCGGCAGCCAATTGCGCACAGCAGTGTCCCACAAACAGTTATGGTTTGAAGTGACCAATTCATTATTTTTTTTTTGAGTTTTTTTTTTTGCTTTGCAGTATTCCCTAAAGCGCTCCTTAAATTATTTAAGAAACACTCTAAAGAATACCAGCGGGTGGTGACCATTTCCAGGGCAAGTGAAGTGGTTTGTTCCTTTCAGGGTCTTATCATTATCATTTTATGACAATGACGTGAGAAATTTTATTTCTGTATATTTTAGAGTCTACGTCGGGCTGCAATTGTTTGGGTTTTGGTTTGCTTGTCCAGAATTCACCTGCTTAGAGGGCTCGGAATCCACACTCTCTGAGGTCAAAAGATTCACTTTTAGCTGTCGGATGGAATCAATCTAAAGCCAAGCACTAAAGGGTGAGCAGAGATTTTAACCGTGCCAGGCTGGTCAATCCTGGGAACACGATATTAAACAAAAACAATTGAACAAAATTAAACAACAAAGACAAATTGTAGGATCAAAAACTTACAAAATAAAATTGCTTACTCAGGGACACAAAATTACAGTCCTTGGACCCTGGCACAAACATGCCACTTATCTAAAGAAGCCCAAGGAGCCTCTTCTGGTGTCCCTTAAAGTGTTCCTTAAATTGGTTTCGCCCACAAAATATACAGTCAATTTACTTTACAGTATATTCAGTGAAGCACTTTGAGACGTCTAGAAGATGTGATAAGGCCCTATATTACAATGAAAGGATTATTATTAATTATGGGTATATTAAGGAATACCACAACTAGATCTTGGCTTTAATAAGGATAGGCTGCTGTGGCGGGCAGCATGGTGGTATACCCACAGAGAGGTGTGGGAGCAAGCCTTTCCAAATCACCCCACCGAGGTGTTAATACCTCTTCACAAAAATGCTATTTTGAAATGTTCTAGTTTTGCTTATATTTTTGGCAAACATTAATTGCTGCGGTCCACTGGGTGATATCAACTGCAACCTAATTTGGTCATAAATCATATGATTCAAAAATGTTCCAGCGAGGAAATTTATCTTTATAACACAACACACTTTATTAAGGATGAAACTATCATAATCAGATACACATTATCACATGCATTATAAACAAACTTCATTGGGGGTATTGTGAGGAATCACCAGAGCTAGAGAAATGGTTGTGACTTTCTCTGGAGTCTTTCAAAAATCTTTGGTAGTTTTGCACAGACCATACATGCAGAGAGAAGTGCCCAAGGTGTGCACAGGGAGCAGGGATTCCTCCCACTCAACTCCTGTTAACCCTGCAGGCCAAATCCCTAATGGATATGATTTCATCCTAACTGGAGAAACAGTAGCAAGGAAGCTTGTGAGACATTTTTCTCAATGGCAAGCCATGGGGTTTTATCTGGTTAAACTCCAGCAGTATTCCAACGCACACTTTGAGAGGGGAAAAGGTGGAGGGATGGAAGGAGGATGTTCCAGGGGTTAGGGAAATAGTAACTAAATGGTGGCACTGAGGGAGCTGACGACATGTGGCATGCCTGAGTTAGCTGTGCTGGGGGTAAGGGGGGGGGGGGGGGAATCAGCGCAGTACGGTTGAGGAACAGAGAGATAGGGAAGTGCTAGGGCATGAGAGGATTTGTAAGTGAAGGTGAGGACCTTGAAGCCCTCACAAAATACACAGTCAATCCACTTTACAGCATATCCTATGAAGCGCGTTGAGACGTCTCAAAGACGTGATAAGAACCATATCAAATGCAAGAACTATTATTATTATTTTTATTGTTAAGTCGATCCTTTGGGACCCAGGAAACCAGGGGAACCCGGGGAGAACTCAATATTTTAAATATTGAGTTTAAATCAGTGTGTACTATTATAGCAATGTCTGGTAAATAATAATGAAAGATGGCCAAATGTTTTAAAAAAAAGTGGTAATAGATTTAAGACAGCCCAGTGTTGGTGTAAATTGGTTCCAAGTGGCACTGGCTGACAACAAGGGAACAAATTACCTGTCCACACTCTTGCTGAGAAAATTATATCCAAGGGTCCCCGGGGATTTGAGATTAGCAGCTGATTAAATAAAACCTTATGTTGGGACTTGAACTCATAGTCTGACACTCCACAGTAGCATTGGGAAGTGCTGCCTTTCAGATGATGTGTTAAACCAAGGTCCCATCTGTCTCTGTTCAGGTGGACATTAAAGATCCCAAGAGACTATTCAAGAAAAAAAGTGTCTCTTTGTGTCCTGGCCACCATCCTCCAATAGTACATCGAGGTATGTTTGATAACAAACATTGAATGTATTGTTAAATTGACCTCCTATTAATACTAAAACAATAAAAGCTCAAGTTCTACAGCACATGGAAGCAAATGTATTTCCAGTCAGCATTAGTTAGCAAATTCATTGCAAAACTTTCCACATCTCTGCCCCCATAACTCATAGGTGGTGGAAAGCAGACCGAACACATCGACAAGTAATATTCTGTTTATATTCAAGGTGCACTTTGTGCATATTTGCATGTTTTTGTATTATTGCCATGGGAAATGAGGGAGCAATTTCTGGCGAGGACAAAGGGCAACCTCAAGATGTTTCTGTAAATGACTATCTAAAACTCTATCTGAGTAAGCCAGCAAGGCCTCCTTAGACCGTAAGGGATTAGCTTTCCCTTGTAAGCATTTAGGAATCTGGTAGTGTTTGGCAAATGTTTTGAGATGTTTATTTTAATATTTTTACAGCCCATCTTTCATTTGTTCAGCAATCAGTTGGTTAATGATAGGATAAACTTCAGAGCAACATACTGTATACAGTAACTGATTTACTCACAAGCTTGAATCTTACCTGAGTCATTGGTGGTTAGCTGCAGCACTATTTTGCAGTTGTTTAGATTCTGACCATTTGTAAGGCAGGGGATAGGGACAGTGCTCCGGATTATCAAGGAGTGATCCTTTCCATCTTCTGCGATGTGCAATGACTCTGGCTCAAACTGTTTGAACGAAGGACACTCAGCATATAATCTCCGGCTGCTTCATTACAATGTAAATGCAATATGAGGATTTGGGTTTTTTACATCCGTAAAGAATGCAGCTTCATTCACCTGTATTCCAGCAAAGAATGCTTCACTCTCTCGGGACAGACTGTGTACATTTGGAGAGTCCCTGAAGAAGGTTGATACACTACAGTAAATCTGGAAAATAGCAAAAACAAAGCCAATAGAGCCACAGTACTTTGTCAAGTAAACACTGCCATGAGAAATTCCACCAAGCAAATAGTCCAAACTGATACCATCAGCAGTTATAAATCTCTATCTCAATAACACCTGCTTTCCAAATGACTAATGGTTAAAACATGCCCAAATCCCTATAGTATATCATTTTTTGAAGTAAATATATTGGAGCAGATTTTCTGCCTGGCACAAAAGTGGAAACATGTCCCATCCAGCAATTCTGGATGAGATGTTAAACTGAGATCCCGTCCGCCTTTTGTGGCACGTGTTAAGCGCTTGTGATACTAGTCGAATACAAAAATGCATTTCTTTTGGTATTCTAGTCAACCATCTCCAGATTAGTAGGTAATTCACTTCATGGCTGTGTTCGCTGTAAAATACAGTCAATGCACTTTATAATAAATTCTGTGAAGCACTTTAAGACGTCCTCATGACACAAAATATGATATATCAATTGAAAGGATTATTATTGTTGTGGCTAGTTGTGATAGCTGGATAGGGAAAATAGTTGGGCCATTGATCTAAAAGAAAATAGTTACTATACCTGATGGCTGGGTATAATTTGATAATGTCACAATTAGAACTGATTACAGTGCTCTTTGGTATTGCACCACCTTGCTTACAATGTGTGTCTACTGTGGACCCACGTTAACCCTGAGTGCATGCAGTACACTTGGCTAACAGGACTGACTAGCTGGCATCCTGTGCTTGAAAAAGATGGCTGCTTTCTCGGTTTGAGGTCACCACTGATATTCACCTCCTGTGGGTTGTTCATATGAGCAATATACAAAAGGAAATGTATTGACATTGACCTGCACAGGTAGGATACAAAAAATTATGTTTGAGTAGCATTGAAAATGGCCCTTCTATTGACTATTTCTATTTGCATCCACAATGAAATCCCTTCCCTACTAGCCAGGCTTTAGTGAACAGTGGAATCCTGCAGCTCAGTGGTTAGAGCACTCGCTTTGCAAGCGAGACACCTGGGTTCAATTCCAGACAAGGCGAAACCTTGGCCACACCTAATAATAATCCTTCCAAAACAGAACAATAATAAATTGGTCATTTTCAATCCACGGTTATTTGTGGGACACTGCTGTGCGCAATTGGCTGCCGCGTTTCACCCACAATTATATGGTCAATTCACTTTACAGTAATATTCCGTGAAGCGCTTTGAGACATCTAGAGGACGTAAAAAGTGCTATATCAAATGCAAGGATTATTATTATTATTATTATTATTATTATTAAGAGAACAAAATAGCTTTCAGGAAGGGCCTAGGCTGCAGATCAAATTGTTCCAAAATATTTTGTAAGTAAGTAATCTAGTGATCCAGTAATCTAGTGCAAAGTCATCAAATTACCATGGAAGTAGGCAATACATGCTGGAACAATGTTTGAACAAACCTTTAATACTCATTGTTACTGAGGTACCATTGGCAGGCTAAAATGACATATCCACAGTCTGGCAATAATCAGAGGCATAAACGCCAGAGTATTCCTGGAATTCCAGGGGAACGGAAAATTGGGGCCACAGTGCACATGGTTAATTGAGATCTGGAATGTATGCCACATTAATTAACATTTAATAAATGTAAAAATCACAAAAATGACATTCTTTCCTTGCTTTGTGGCAGTGATAAAACTTCTTTTTTTCCATTCAACTAAGTAAAATGCATCATTAATTGCTCTAAGGCCAATTGCTCTTTTAAACTACATAATCAATACTTAACATTTCAGAAACTCAACAACTCTTTCAGCAGTTCCCAATTCCCTCATTACTGCTTGTTCATGTACAGCAGTTTTATTAGATTGTATTTTTTATTTGTTTATACTGGTAGGTAGAGAAATAAATGGCAGTTTCAGGCATTTTATTTCAGCCTCCAATAAATTATTATGCCCTAAGTGTTGACCCAGCTGACTTCAGTCGGGGCAGTTGTGGAGGCATTACACTTGGACTCAGCAGACCTGAACTATGGACTACAATTAGCTTCTCCAACCTTGAGCTAGGGTACAACCTTGAACAACAATATCAGCCAAGCGTCCCCTCCTTGATCAGTATTCAGAAACTCCATCTCAAAGTGAACATGGAGTCTCGTAGCGTAGTGGTTAGAGGTCTCGCCTCGTAAGCGAGAGGACTCGGGTTCGATTCCCTGGCGGGGACAAAACCTTAGGCAAGCTTCCTTACTCCACGTGCCTCTTTTTACCTAACAGTAAGTAGGAACCCGGTTGTTAGTTGATTGGTGCATCGCTTTTTGAGGGATAATAATAATAACGTAACTGCCTTTGCGCTGCCTGGTAGATAGTAAGCACTCCTAGACACTACCCATGTGAAGGGCGCTATATAATAATAATAATAAATTGGTAACTCCACGGCTGTTTGTGGGACGCTGCTGTGCGCAATTGGCTAACGCGCTTTGCCCACAAAATACACAGTCAATCCATTTGACAGAACATTCTGGGAAGCACTTTGCGACGTCTCAACGATGTGATAAGGCGCTATATCAAATGCAAGAATTATTAAATTATTATTATAATAATGCCTCAAAAAAATGTGTTCACTCAATCCACGACTGTTTGTGGGACGCTGCTGAGCGTAATTGGAGGCTGCATTTTGCCCACAAAATACAAAGTCAATTCACATTACAATATATTCTGTGAAGCGTTTTGAGGTGTCTCAACAATGTGATAAGGTGCTACGTCAAATGCAAGGATTATTATTATTATTATTAAAACATTGAGCGTCAGAAGAGCTCAGGTCTGATACCTTCATTAGCAGGTAGCTCGGTGACTCTAAATGGCCCACAAACAGTTGTGGATTGTGTGACAAATAATACACTCAAATGCATTAAGTTAAACTATCAAGTGGAATACAAGTTTCATTTTGTTTTTTTGATTCGATGGAATCCCTGCATTTACTTTCACCTTTAATATTGTCGCCAATTGTGACAAGGCAGATCTTGTCCTGATTGCTCACATTTGCCCCAGTGTTGAAGTTTGCTATCATTACTGGAGTCTGCAAGTCTGCAGAGGACATCATTTAAATGGACACACACTGCTGGAACTGGTTAGATGAATCCAAATGGCTTAATCTGGCTAACAACTGCAGCTATAAAGCTAAGTGCTACCATTTATTCAGTTAATTACACCATTAATGTGGTGACACACTGTTTAAAAAGAAAAATGTCATTCTAATGTTTAGTCGATAACCTCACTGAAACAAGATCACAATCAAAAGCAGCATTTTAACCCAACCTCAAAACAGTTCCCCCAATTACTACTGTAAATTTCTCAATCTCCCAGAGCTGCTGCCCTACGAACCTCTCTCAACGTGATTGCCAAAATGCTAAATTAGAGGCAGTTTTACACTGGGATAGAAGCCCACAACGAACAAGGTTGAAAGAGCCTGAGGGCATTTTGTGAAGGTCCCTTACGACCAGAGGTAGAGAAAACTTTTTTTTCCTTTCGCGAAGGTTGCATTTGAACCCGGGTCTTGGAAAAAGGACTATATCACCTCTCAAAGCAGCATGTGTGAAATATTAGAGCTATTACTGAACCACAGTTTTAACACACTCTGTGACCCACTGTAGCACATGATTCATACTCCAGTATCTGGGGCTCTGAGTGTCATGCATTTTAATCGAAATCCCCAATTCTCTAATTGAGCAATTTTGAATCTAACAGCCTGGTAGCTCGATAGAAAAGTGACTGTCGAGTGGCTAAAATATTGAATTATCTCCTGGCTTCATAATGTCCTGTATCATTTCATGGGAAGATGCTTTTCAGTTTTTGTTCCCCCATAAACTAGTGGCATAAATACAATAATTGTAGGTGACTGGCGATCTCTCTATTTAGGATACCTGGGAAGCCTTTTGTAACTCATTCATTTATACACTGAGCAGTCTTCCTCACTCCTGAGCTTATGTTGGAATACTACAGTGAACTACTGTGCATCCTTTACTCACATTTTGAAACATGTTTTAGCTCAGCAACTACTTGCTATCAGTTATCTTCAGTCTTTTACTACTTACTTGTCAGCATCAGTTGTACACAAGTTAATTTCTACTTTCTCCCCCTTCAGGTTGATAGTGTCACTCTACCTGATATTAAGTGAGTCCTTAGAGGCTCTTTAATAACTTGTCAGCAATGAGTTGTTCCACGGCCTCTTTGCACTGCATCAGTGTTACCTTTCATGTATCAGATGTGGGAACAAATAATATTGCAGCAAGAACAAAATTCAAATACCCGTTTATGAACGTAATAAATCAAACAGGACCAAAAATAGGGAATTTCAATACCCCAATATAAACAAGCTGGGCTGCAGGGATAACATTAAAAATCTAGTTGTCATGGCTATCATAATTGGAGCCAAATTGGACTGAAATGCATAAATATTCATCAGGAGTTTGTACTATATGTAAATTTAAAATGATAGTTTCTTTGCCTGCGGTTTGAATCCCAATGGAGTTGACAGTCGTCCTGGTTTGCCCACATCTCTGCATTTAAGCTAATGACCTAAGGCATTTTGTGAAAGGTAAAGACAGATGCAAAAGAACATGTGCATATGTTGCTTAGCAAGACAAATTCTAATGTAGTTTGCAGATGCACCATTTATAACATTGTCCAATGCCATTTAATATTGCGCAGATTTTCCAACTCAACCACTGACGTTTAGAAGGAAACTTGGAATATGTGATTATGATTTAACAATTTAGTGTATGCATGCAAAACAGCATGTCCAGCTGTCAGCAAGCCCTTAAAGCAAAGTCCTTTTATATACATTAGATTAGAAGAGATAAAAAGTTGCTCCGAACCACAATTACAAATTACAGGAATTATATTCCACTGCCAGTCAAAGGTACAAACTAGGATTTTGCAGGTCAGTGGAATTTTGTTTCAATTTGTTTCTGTTTTCATTTAAAAAAAACTGAGTGGATATGTTTTGAGAATATTCATGAGGTGCGCTTTCAAGCGCTGAAGATTTGCTGATTACCAAGTCTATAATTCACAAGTCCCAGATTGCACAGCCAGACATGGATCAGAGAATTTCAGTGTTGAAAAAGGTTATTAAATTCATCATTGCCGGTGATGCTTCTCTGAAAGAGTTATCATTTAGTTCCACTCCACTGCTTTTTCGTCATTCCATTTTATATTTTCCTTTATCAAATGATTATTTAATTCTCTTTTTTATATAAAAAAGGCTATCATTGATTCCACTTCAACCACTGTTTTTGGTTGGGCAACCATGTCCTTAAAACTAGCTGGGTTTTAAAAAAAAGTTTACCCAACCTTTACTTTATTTTTAGCAATAATCTGAAATTTACGCCCTTGAGTTACCAGCTCACATCCAGCAACAGTCTTGAGACCAAAGTGTTCTGGGTACGAATATTGATTGGTTTGCTCAGCCTGTTAAAATGAGTAATTGTTTTAGAACAAAACCTTCCTTGGGGGAGGTAAGCAGTCACCCAGGGGTCAAATCAGCTTAAAAGGAACGCACCTGCAAAGCAGCCAGACCTGCAGTAATTCCGAGACATTATTCACAACTGACCAGTCTGTCTAGATGAGAGACTTGAGAGTTGTGTACATGGTCTTAAAGTTAGAAAGGCCATCTCTTGGGCAAAGTGGTTCTGGATGGTCAAGAGCCTGGCACTTCCTATTGCTGTGTGAAGGGCGCAAGTTGTTGTTGCTGTGTGGATACCGCCATAATATTCTGTATCCTTTATATTTGAACAGTGTTGTTCATTTTAATTGGGGCAACTATCATCAAACGAAAGACGCACTTTAGCAAAATTACAGTCACGTAGTGTATTTTGATATTGGTTGAGCTAAGAGCAATAATGTACCCAAATATTAGGAACGGTCAATTGATTTTAAAAATGTCTTCCAATACTTTAAACACCAACATCACAGGAGAGAGGAAGGATGCAAGTCATCCACTTTTAAGAATCCTCTTGTGACCAGTTCATTCTTGGAATTTGCAGAACAGTGGAAACGGTGGCCTTCCTAACCTTTTGATCAGCAAATTATGTTTGGTCCCTGTGGGAAATGGGGGGTGGGAGGGGGGGTTGAGGATATACTTAAGCACTCAGAGATGCCATCTGGCATGAAGAGCCCTATATAAATGCAAGTTGTTGTTGTAACTTTCTTTCTAAGAAGTTATGAATTTTCTTCTTCAAGTGTTTGTCATACAAATGGATTTGCCTGTCTTTTGTTACACTATTAAAAGTCAGGATACTCCTGCAATGAAAATCTATCCATGAAGTCATACAGAGGTGCTTGAACTAAATGAGCTACTCCAAATTCAACAACAACAAAATTACATTTCTATAGCGCCTTTCATGCCAGGAAGACGACCCAAGGCGCTGGACAGACAGTGTTTCAGACCTGAGCTGGGGGTCGGGATTGGGAGGTTGAAGGGCAGGGGGGAAGCAGGGTGATCAAAATCACAGTCGAAGAGGTGGGTCTTGAGATAGGTCTTGAAGGAGACAAGGGAGGGGACGAGGTGGAGGGACTGCGGGATGGAGTTCCAGAGGGTGGGCGCAGAATGTCAGAAGATAGGGTGGGTGAGATGGGGAACGTGTAGCAGGCCGGACCCCACCGAGTGGTGGGAGTGGTCAAGATGGTTGGGATTAGGAGGTCACAGAGGTAGGGGGGAGCAAGGCCATGGAAGGCTTTGAAAGTGAGGAGCAGGATCTTGAACTGTATCCGCTGTGTGATGGGAAACCAGTGGAGTCGGGCGAGGATGGGGGTGATAGGATGACGGAGCCTGGTGCGGGAGAGGACACGGGCTTCAGATGGTCAAGATGGTTGGGATTACGAGGTCACAGAGGTAGGGGGGAGCAAGGCCATGGAAGGCTTTGAAAGTGAGGAGCAGGATCTTGAACTGTATCCGCTGTGTGATGGGAAACCAGTGGAGTCGGGCGAGGATGGGGGTGATAGGATGACGGAGCCTGGTGCGGGAGAGGACACGGGCTTCAGAGCTCTGGATGATCTGCAGCCTGTGGAGGGAGGAGTTGGGGATGCCGACAAGCAGTGAGTTTGCATCGTCAAGCCTGGATGTTATGAATGTACGTATGAGGGTTTCGCGGCCTGTGGTGTGAGATGGTGGCGGAGCCGGGAGATGTTGTGGACGTGGGGAAAGGCAGTGCAGGTCATGGCACGGACGTGGGGTAGAAATGATAGTTGAGGGTCAAACAAGACACCAAGGTTCCGGACTGGCTTAGCAAGGTGGAGTATGCAACCATGGACGGTGATGCTGTAAGCGCTTGAGGTGAGGAGGCGCTGACCACGGGAGTCAATCGTGAGAGCCTCGGTCTTGTTGACGTTCAACTGAAGAAAGCTAGGTATTCAAACTCAAAATGCTAGCTTGTGATTTAATGTGTTTGAAGACATGAGATTGTTTTAAAGAGATCTGGACAGCATTACCGTGTCTCCCAGTCTGAACATAATTCCATCCATCTCCACAAAAGAGAACGTCTGTCGGGTCGTGTCTCTCTTTATCTCTTCCTTGATGTTTAGCAGTGAAAGCCGTGACCAAACCACAACATACCCTACGGTGCCATTTACAGAGCGACTTGCATACGTGCACTTTAAATGGATGTTGTTGCCCACCAACTCGGGGGATATCAATGGTTTGCCAGGCAGATCAGGGAGTCTTGCTGAAAAAAATCAAAAAGAACAATTGTTGTATGTTTTCCAACTTCTGCACGTTTTAATAATAATAATAATCCTTGCATTTGATATCGCGCTTTTCACGTCGGGAGGACGTCCCAAAGCGCTTCACAGAACACACTGTAAAGTGAATTGACTGTATATTTGTGGGCGAACGTGGCAGCCAATTGCGCACAGCAATGTCCCACAAACAGTCATGGATTGAAAATGACCAATTTATTATTGTTTTTGGTTTTTGGAGGGATTATTATTAGGCTCTGTGTGGAGTAAGGAAACTTGCCCAAGGTTTCGCTCTGCCTGGAATTGAACTCAGGTCTCTCGCTTGCAAAGCGAGTGCTCTAACCACTGAGCTACAGGACTCCACAAATATATCATCATTAATATCATCATACTTTATGCAGGAATCTCTGAAGCGCTCTGAGATGTTTCAACACAAGGCACTATATCAAATGCTGATTATTACACCCAAGTTAAACAAATAATAGGAGCAGCCACAAAATCTAATGGTATCAAACATGTACAGACTGGTGCACGAACCCAGGTCTAACAAGTTCATCATTATGGTGATAGTTGCCTTCGAAGCTGCTTGTCAAAAGTACATGGATCTTTTGAGATCTTGTCTTCTAATGTTCGGCAGAGTTACAGGCAAAGACAGTAAGCAAAGCTATCTTACTACAGATAACTGTTGAAGATATTGCATTCTATCAAGGCTAAAACAGTCTCAAATTAATCTATTGTGCAAGGCTGATGGTAATCTGGCTGTATTTGCATTAAAATATCTTTTAGTGATACGAATGTGGGTTACTGATCTTGCGAGCATCTTCAAAATCCACTGAATTATTACTTATAATAAACTGTGTGGTCTTCAAATCCTAAGTGTTACTTAATTCAACAGCGAGACTCAGAACTGACCTGAAATGTTAGCTCTCTGAACCAAAGTAATGGGGGAAAATGTTCACAGAAATTTGAAATGTTATTGTTGATCATTCTCTGGAAATAAAATGCATGTTATTACTTTGAATCGCATGCAGTATTCTGAAAGTAAGGCAATACTCCTATAAATCTGTTCTCTTTGGTGCTTTACTAAATTTATTGCTCCTCAGCAGAGCTGGAGTGCAAAGTGCTGATCAAATATCTTTACAGTGGCTGACAGTCTAACAGGATCCAGCTAAGAATGTGCAATAGCTTACTGATAAAATAAGCTGTATTTGAAGTTGCAAAGTCTAGAGGGGGAGGAAACTTTTGATTTGGGGGCTGTGGGACTGGTTGAAAAGTAATCCCAGTCTCTTTACTGATAATGTGTCTACATATATATATATACACACACAATATACACACGTATACATTATATATTAAAAAAATCAGAGTTCCCAAAAGAACATGTGCAATACAATATGCCATATGGACAAAAGTGTGAATCAAACAAGCTCCACAAATGTTTATTATACATCGATAATTAGAACCCTTTGATTGTGATATTTTAATGTACATCATAGATCTCAATGTTCTTTCCTTATTAGAGAATAAGAGTCAAATATTCAGCTGCAATATTTGCAATAGGCTCCTTTTAAGGGTGAGGAATTTCTTAAAAGAAAATCCTCTGAAAAGGATATGTTTTTATCCAACCTACTGTTCTCTTTCCTCATTTAAGTACTACTAAGCCTTAAAATCCTGGAAGACTATTTAACATAAAATTTAAGATTGTGCAGAGTTGTGGAAAATTCGTAAGTTGAGCCTTGTAAATTTGGAAGCTGGTTCTTATTAAGATAAACAAATTAACGGCAAAAAACACAACTTGCAAATTAAGACTGAATTTAAGAATTTTCCACAATTCTGTGCAATCTTAAATGTTAAGAAAAAAATCTTCTTACAAGCAAACAAAAAGGAATTTTGAACTGTGAGAGCTAAAACTGTTTGTAATCACAAATGCCTATAGATCATCACTTTTCATTCTTAAAGATTATTTCTAGTTAAAAAATGTGTCTCTTTTCTTCTCTTTTCCGCTCTTATAAATAAATCCCTCTGTACATATTCCATTGGTCTATGTAACTCATTTCATTTGCTGCATTCATAAAAATGTCACTCCTTGTTAGGGCCATAGTAAGCAGCCTTGGAGATGCCCTAAATTCGCTCTTCTACAGAGAAGGCTTGAATTATTAACTTGTTTATTACTGATAAAAAGTGGTATTCACTTCTTGACACCTCACGTCAGTTATGGCTGACTGCAGAACCTTTGTTCTTAACTTAACTTCATTCCATGTGTTGGTTCTTGCCAGTCAATGATGTCATTCAAAAAGGCTATTGTCATCAATGAAATGTCAGGTTATCAATCTGACACTCCCCAAATTGCTCCACACATCAACAACAACAACAACAAGATTCCATTTATAAAGCGCCTTTCACGTCAGGAGGATGTCCCAAGGCGCTGCACAGTTGGGTCATGACCCGAGCAGGGGGGAAATGGTCAGGGTGAGGGGAGGGAAGGGAGGGAGGGAGCGAGGAGTGGGGAAATGGTCAGGGTGAGGGGCGGGAAGGGAGGGAGCGAGGAGGGGGTAGAGAGTCGAGAGGGGAGCTGAAGGCTCGGTCAAAGAGAAAGGTTTTGAGACCGGCCTTGAAGGAGGAGAGGGAGGAGGCGGCGAAGGCACTGGGGGATAGCGTTCCAGAGCCTAGGGGCTGAGAGGCTGAAGGCCCGGCCACCGATGGTAAGGCGGTTGGGGCGGGGGATGTGGAGCAGACCGGAGCCAGAGGAACGGAGGGTACGGGCAGGTAGGTAGGGGATAGTAGGTCAGAGAGGTAGGAGGGAGCAAGGCCGTGGATGGCCTTATAGGTGAGGATGAGGATCTTGAATTCGATCCTCTGGGGGATGGGGAGCCAGTGGAGGTGAGCGAGGGTGGGTGTGATGTGGTCCCGAAGCCTGGTGCGGGACAGTACACGAGCTGCAGAGTTCTGAATGACCTGCAGCTTGTGGAGGGAGGTGGCGGGAAGGCCGAAATCAGTACACACAAGTCACAGAGGTATATGTAACAACTGTCTGTGTGGGGGGTCAATGAATGGAAAATAAGGAAACAGATTTTTTTTCCCCCCTGGCTCCAGACTGGTGCGTTTAATTTGTCATAAGGAAGGTAATTCAGAAGAAAACACAGTGCAATTGGTAATACAGAAGGAAACTCTATTTAGTAGGTCATTTATCACTATTTCACCCAAGTACAAAAAAGTATATTTGTCCAGATATCATTTCTCAGTTTTACAGCTGAGTTCTCGAACCAAAGTCTGATCGAGCGTCCACATCTAATCACCAGAAAAATGAGGCAAACATGACATCTAACAAATGGATTATTTTTACCAAGGCAAACCATAACATAACATGTAACCCATCAATGCTTTTTATCAAGAGTGAAATGAACAGCTGTTGCTCTGGCCTGCCCACGAGGTTGATGTTAAAGATCCCAAGGCATTATTTGAAAAGAGAAGTCAGTTTCTCCCGTGTCCTGGTCAAAAATACTTCAGATAAAATAATCATTCATTTCCGAGTTGTTTGTGGGACATTGCTGTGTGTAAAATGGCTACAACAACAACAATTTGCACTTACATAGCACCCTCCATGCAGGGTAGCATCTCAGAGCACTTAACAGTGGCTGAACCTGCCACTGAGCCGGAGGGGAGGGGTAGGAGGGGGAGGTGGCCGTAAGCACGGTCGAAGAGGAAAGTTTTTTCAGGCAGAACTTGTCCAGGACCTCTTCACACTTGGCTATAAAGAATGCCTACAATTACATTACTACTGCACTTGACAGCAATTTCATGGGAAGCTCTTTCAGATGTGCTGACATTATAGACATTATATTAAATGCAAGGATTATTAGTATTGATTCCTTTTATTGTCTTCAGCTGCAGGAACTCACTGGTTAGCTCCACATACCTGTCTGTTCTGACAGCTATTTGAGCCCAATCACTATTCTGATTATATGGATTGACACCTGAACCCAACATAAACAATTCTTATATTCCGTTTGTTCTGCCCTCACAATCAAGCACACGAGCACTTGGGGGAGCACGAGGAGCATCCAGTTATACTCCCTGCCTATTTTGTTATAAAGCATGTAATTGGTTCATGCCTCAAGTATAAATGTGCCCTGGTCTGTGGTCTTCTGATACTTTGGCACAAATTCAAACTGATTCCTCTTTGGTAAGTTTGGCAATATTTTCCTGGAACAGCAAACACAATACAGTGCTACACATTTGGGGCATTGTGAGAAGCATCAAGATGCCATCCAATGCAAACATCCAATGTGTAATGTTTCCTAGTATAAATGGGGCAATGTTTTCCTTGCATGAATAAGATTATCCCCTTTTATTTTTAAAAAGTAAATTTAGCATTCAACCAGACAAGGTATACCATCACTAGGGTGATGGAATACTTTCTCATTCTGGGAATCCAATCTCAGCATGAAGAATTCTCAGGTCAGCTACAGTATAGTTATATGCAGCTTAAACCTTAGTTTGCTTTGACCCAACAGTCTACTGGATACCCAGCACCAGAAGAGCACCAATAATAATAATAATCATTGCATTTGATACAGCGCTTTATCACGTCTTTGGGTCTTTGAGATGTCTCAAAGTGCTTCACAGAATATACTCTAAAGTGAATTGACTATATAGTTTGTGGACAAAATGCAGCAGCCAACTGCACACAGCATTATCCCACAAACAATCATGGATTGAAATGAACAATTTTTTTTTGAAGGAATTATCACCTCCAGTAAAGCGATCGGCCAATCGACCAACAACTGGGTTCCTATTTACTGCTAGGTAAACTGAGGCATGTGGAATAAAAAACTTGCCCAATGTTTCGTCCTGCTGGGAATCAAACCCAGGTCTGTCACTTGTGAGGCGAGTTCTCTAACCATTGAGCTACAGGACTCCAATAGTACATTACTGAGACTTTCTTTCCACTTTCCATCAGAACCATAATTTCTATGTAAGATTTTGATTTTGAATTTGTTGTTGATTTTCTGCTCAATTAAGGGGAGTTTTGTATTGGCAACTCATCTCCTGCCATGGACTGGTTTGTGATCGCTCAAACTCATTTCATGCGATAGCCTGAGCACCAGAGAAAGAAAATTTGCCAGGTTTAGCAATTGGATCAGTAGGCAGTAAATAATAACAATAATAATCCTTGCATTTGATATAGTGCCTTATCACATCATTGAGACATCTCAAAGTGCTTCATCAGAATATATATATATATGTAAATTAATAAATTATTTAAGATAGTTTCAGCACNAAAAAATGACTATTTGTTGGATTTAAACATATCTTGTAAACACTCGTAGCAAGCATTCCAACTTGTCTTAGTGAAATTCAAGGATAAGCTATTTGATTTACAACGCTAACAGTTTTGTTTTTTCTATCATTGTTCCATTCCTCATTCATGTTTGGGCTTGGTTAGTGAAGCTCATTCCAAACTGAGTCACTTGAATGGATTGGAGCCCCTTACAATTCTAGTTCTGTGAACATAAGAGCTCTCTTCACAATTGACACCCTTTAATTTCACAACTAATACCATGCTTGTAGCACAGGAAATGACTGAAACAAGTGCATAAAACACCTGGATTGTATAGAACTAACCAGGTGTAGTATATAATCAAAGGGGGGAAATCCACTGATCAGAATCTCTGTTTGATGTCAGCATATTCATTGCTAGGGTTTAAAATACAACTTCACTAATAAAAGAACTAGAAATGAGGGAACAAAATTCGCAGGTCATCATGCCTCTATAAACCTCTGCAATCCTAAGAAGCTAATGAGCCAAAACACAAGCTGACCTATAAAATAGGAATACAAGTGTTAGGATATTGTGTTGGGATATTGGGCACTTCCTTCAAGTTTGTCTTGCTATTAATAAAATAGTTTTAACATTACAAGGGGAGGTATTTTTTGAAAATAAAATAGGCCTGCTCTATTTATTCTGTAGCTGTCCTTTCTGATGCTATTGCAAATTTTTACTTGAGAATTAGAATTAATTTTAACAACGTATTGCTTTTCTGTTTCTATTTCTTTTCATTTTCTCAGTATCTGCATTTAAACAGTAAGTCTATAGTTGGTAGAACTGACTTGGAGGAGTGAACTGTTTGAAGAAGCAAAAAGTAACAAAAGCTGCTATATGGAGAACGCTGGCTGAGGATCAGGTTTACATCTCATGGGAGTTATGCTAACTCCTTATCTAATCAACACAGTGGATGAAATATAAACACACACTGTGATTGAAGTTTTTCTTAAATCCGTACCTACACGCTACATTTTTGAAGTCTAATGGTATGATAATCACCAGTGGAAGCTGAAAGGAATTTATATCATAAATGATTCAAGAAATGGATTCCAAAGGTAATGTTTTTAGAGTACATTAAAAATGCCATCACTTCAGATAAACAATTTTCCAAGTAGGATAGGCATTTCAAGTGAATCCTTGGTATTTGATACAAAACACACTTTATTTTCCTATGTCATTATACAGGTTTGACTTTCTTGCAATATGAATAGGATGTTATATTTATTACATCAGCCAAGTACATAGCAACCAAATTAGAAAGTTAACAAGACGAGATTGGAATTTACTCAAGACTCCTGCTAATAATTTGAAAAACCTGCATTACCTTGACACATCCCATTGATATCTAAGTCCCCTGGAGCACAGGATCGTGGCTTTCGTTCTACAATACCTATTGGAAATGAAAACAAAAAATACAATCAGGCATTGACAGGACTAAAATAAGTAAACCTTGTTTTTTATTTTCAAAAAGAGAGAAGAATTAGAATTAAACTTTGGATCCCAATCTAGCTTTCTTCTTCCATTCATTACCTCTTGCCTGAAACTTCTCACAGGTAATAATTTGGGGAAAAGAAAGAACAGTCTGAATGGATACCAAGGGAAAATGTATTTTGGTCAAGACTCCCCTGTGTCTCTAAATGATGCTCAGTCAATGTGGGCCGGTCAAGTTGCTGTAGATCAAGGGTTTTTAACTAGGTGGCGCTCTGCACATGATCGAAAAACAAGAGGAAGGAGCAGTAGAACTGCGTTGTTATTGAGTTCAATTGAAAACGAAGCCAGATACATGAAGTATTCCATGCACCTCGAAATAAAAATATACACTTTATTGTGTAAGATGCAGTAAATATCGCTCCTTCTTGTTTTTATTGAGCATGCGAAAAATGCCACCTAACAAAGATTGACTGGTTGGAGACCCCTGCATAGATTGTCTGCCCAAAGTTCAATCGAATGGTCTCACAGGAAGAAGTCAAAGTGCTGAATGGCCTGGCAGACCACTGTCAGATCGTGTGTAAATGTATGTGTGTGTGTGTGTGTGTGTGTGCGCGCTAACATTGATTTGATTTGAGACATCTCGAAGTCGTGATAAGGCACTATATCAAATGCAAGGATTATTATTATTATATTGCTTCAAATTGAAACAATGGTGGGTTAGAGTTTATAGTTACGAAGTCAGCCAAATCAGTTAGAATTTCCTACACATTTTACCTTGCTGCATCCAACATGACTAATTCCCTGAAAGATCCTTAAACATGTTAACAAAAAGGAAACCGACTTTGAATGCTTCAAAGCACATTCAATACTGAAAAAAGGGTTGAAAAACCTGATCATTTGTCTGCTAACCTTCAGCACAGTAACCCATGCATCCCTGAGTAGGTTGAAGGTAATAAACGAAAAAGTCTCCACAGTTCCTGAGAGAGACGGGGATCCTAAATAAACAGCAGTCTTTGGTGCTGCCTGAGAAGAATTGCCATGTAGCGCAGGCCGTTAGCTTCTTTAGTTCACCCACACGAGGCAGAGACTTAGAGTCTTTCAGAGAAAGCCAGACTGGAGCTTGTGTGCCACATTTATTCATCTGAAAATGAACAAATTATAGCAGAGGTTAGAACAACTATCAAAGCGTTTGCTCATTAAAATATCTACGGGGAGAAATTCCACATGGGGTTCAATCTATTTTATTTACCTAGCATTTTAGAGGATCCAGAATTTGTCAAAATTCTCAAATGCAGTCATAATTTGGAAGCCAGTTTTCTCCAAGTTCATTTACGTATAGCAGAATGCCAACTACAAAGTTAATTCAACAATTTGCCAAATTCAGGGATGCTCTAAAAAGGTACATAAATCTGAATCAGAGTAAATCTGAGTAAATCTTAGGCCAAGTGAAATTTCTCCTTACAAGTGTTGTAAATGCAATAAAATACCGATGGCCTTTTTTTATATAATTCATTCACAGTTTACTGAGCAGAATAGATTTGTAAATCTCAAAATTTAGTTAACTTGGAAAATAATCGCATTCAAATCTAAGAAACTTGACTATATTGATGGATTAATTGAAGTTTGTCTTTATTTATATTTTGCCAGTCAACGCTTGATAGCGTTATAACAGTTTTATCTCACTAAGAGATACGATATTTAAGTGACGGCACTACAATGGCCTCAAGCACCACTTGGCAAGGGAGAGGGAAAGACAAGATAGACAAGGTTACTGTTTCTGATCGCTATCTAGCAATTAGCAATGGCTAAGCTCCTGTAAGGACATCCAATAAGAGCACTATCAGTCTCAACCGTGATGGTCTCAGCAGTCCAAGAGGCTACTGACATTCACTATCTATGTTTGCATGTCACTTGACAAGAGTACAAAGCATGCTTTAGCATTCCAAACTAAAATTTAAAAAATAATAATAATAATTTGGTCACGACTGTTTGTGGGACACTGCTGCTGAGTTTCGACCACAAAATATACAGTCACTACACTTAACAGTATATTCTGTGAAGCGCTTTGAGACATCTCGAAGACATGATAAGGCGCTATATCAAATGAAAAGATTACTATTATTATAAACTGAGAGGGAAAAAAAACAAATCAAAGTAACAAAGGCAAGAAGCATAAATTGGATCATGTCCAGAGAAAGTCAGTTTGAACCAATGTTATTTCAATAACTTAGTTTATACACTAACTTCTATACATTTGGTTGGCATTTCTGCTGGTTTGTCATGGATCATGAAGCGATACCACCCTGGTGCCAGGGAATGATCACATATCAGGTCTTGGATTGCAAATTGCTGCAGTTCAACAGAATCAAAGTCAATACTCCGATATGGACTCCGAAGAATTTGATGTCCTCCAGTGTAGCATTCTGGAGCTAAAAGAAAAGAAAATTGCAAAACGGTGAAAGTCATAATACTGTCAAGCGCTATATCCAATCAAGCACATGGTGAATCTTGTTAATCAGGAAGCAAATCCGAAAAAAGAAAGGAGTTTCTCCCGGTGTCCTGGCTGAACAAATCCCCCAAATAACACTGGTCATTCATTTCATAGCTGTTTGTGGAACACTGCTGTGAACACATTTGCTGCTTTCATCTACAAAATATACAGTCACTGCACTTCACAGTAAGTCCTGTGAAGCGCTTCGAGACGTCCTCCCAACATGAAAGGTGCTACATCAAATGCAAAGATTATTATCATCATCATTATAAATGCATAATCAACGACTATTAATTCATATACATCAGCACTTCAATGAATGGTTGTAGTAAATATAACTAGTAGTAACTATTAGCAAAGGATTTGTAGGACAATAAAGAATCATCATGTTAGTGTCAAGCTCTGGTATTGAAATGGTGTTGGTGAATTCAGGTTCAGCCAGTTGTGCAACATTGAGAAGCCAATCCCTTCACTGAAAACTGCAGCTTTAGCAGAGTAGAAAAAGAGTTTCCACACTTATTATTGATTTGCATTGAAAATCTGGGCAATTGAGAGATCTATTTAACTGGCAGAATTGCATTAATATTCCAATTTTGTATCCTAATCCCATGCCATTCAAGAAAGTACTACACTGGGTTTACTTTCTCAACCGCACTTAACGATCACACAGTGACTTGGGATGTAATATTGTATTGTATTAACATTTTATATACCTCTACAAAGTCCTCTCTGAGATAAATCACTTTTCAGGGATGACGAGCCCTTGAAGACTGCTTTACCATAATCAGGTGATACCCACCACTAATGGTAAAGCAGGATGTTTTACTAGTTTTACTAGAATGCAAATTTCTAATTTTCTTTTACCTCTGGGAGGGTCTAGGAACTGTGAACAAACATCACATAATTTGGGTGAGGACGGGAGGAGCTAAACAAACAGTATCTTGCAGTTTCTTATTGTCAAACTGCTAACTGAAGAGAAAGGAGAGCAGCCTCAGGAAGAGATCAATGTAATCCCTGCATTTTAGTCAAATCCATCCCTCAAAAGTAATGGTTTTGCATTAGTTAGTCAGGGTGTGTTTTTGCTTCAACCACAATTAAATAATACTGAGTTGGCTTTAAGTTTTAATTAATTTGTCACCTGAATGTAACCACCTCTCAACTGGTTCTGTTACAGATTCAATCCAAAACTACACTTTCTATGTCCAGATTTGATATAACATGCTCTCAATTCAACAATCTAGTTTCAACTTCAACCTCGGTAGGATTATTTAATACACAAGTGCGATATTTTCCTATTTTCAACACTAACAAAGCTACAGCCCCTTTGAGTGAGATTGCTAACAAAGTACCCATTTTGAGCTGTAAACCAAACCTCATTAGGCCCTTGCATCATTTATTTCATATGGGATCTTTAAAGCCACCATTCAGTGAAGATTTTCATTCCATTAGATTGGATTGGATCCAAATCCAGTTCCCACAGGAATTATTTTGCAAACCAACACTTTGTTTGAAAAAACATTACAGTTATAGTGTGCTTCAGTGCAATGTAGAATGTAACTCTAATATGGAATTGTAGCTCTCTGGTTGTGAATTTAACTAGATAATTGGTAACTTTTCTAAACATTACCAATTCTAGTATAGTCAACTGAGGAATTAAGTCTAGCAGCATGACACTTCATGGATATAATTTAATTCAGAACTAGTTGCTATAAATGCCATTATGTCTTTTTTTAAAACCTTTAGAATAGATACGGCAGGTACAGAGACAGCCTCTTGAATCAAGCCTGTTATATTAATTCAAACCATTCTTCTAGTTGACAAAGGAAAACCCGATAAATTACACTCTTTGTACCGGCTGAAACAAGCACAGCGCCTGTTTTTTGGTGATTCATAAATCAACTTTGTTTTCGGAATTGGTTCAACTGCAAATTGGTTCCATTTCACTCAAAACTTCTTAAAAGTAATTTTAAGATTTATTCCAGTGGCAGACGTGGGTCAAATCATATTACTTTCAAAAAAGAACTGAAAATCGTAAAATCCTGACTCTATCAGCAGAGGAACCCATTCAGCCTTATGTGTCAATGACATCGACCTCTCCCATTGGAGCTGTTTTCTCTGATCCCATTTCCCCCTTCTTTCTCTATAACATTTTATATCTTCTAATACCCTTTGATCCCTTCTATCCATCTTAATTTGCATTTCAAAGTGATTATAGAATCATAGAATTTTACAGCACAGAAGGAGGCCATTCGGCCCATCGTGTCTGTGCCGGCTCTTTGAAAAGAGCTATTCAATTCAGTCCCACTCCCCCGCGCTCTGCCCATCTCCATAGCCCTGCAAACTTGTCCCCCTCAAATAATTATTTACTTCTCCCGTAAAAGTTCTTATCGAATCGGCTTCCACCATCCTTTCAGGCAATGCATTCCAGATCCAAACAACTCGCTGTGTGGAAAAACCTTCTCCTCACCTCTCCTCTGTTTCTTTTAACAACTATTTTAAATCTGTGTCCTCGGGTTACCGACCCACCCGCCAGTGGCAATAGTTTCTCCTTGTTCACTCCATCAAATCCCCTCATAATTTTTAAAATTTCTATTAAGTCTCCTCTTAACCTTCTCTGCTCCAAGGAGAATAATCCCAGTTTCTCTCGCCTCTCCTGATAACTGAAGTCCCTCATTCTGGCACCATCCTGGTAAATCTCTTTTGCACCCTCTCCAATGCTTTGACATCCTTCCTAAAGTGCAGTGCCCAGAACTGAACACAGTCTCTAGCTGAGGCGTAGCCAGTGTTTTATAAAGGTTCATCATAACTTCCTGACTTTTGTATTCTACGCCCCTATTTATAAAGCCTAGTATTCCATATGCTTTTTTAACAGCTTTACCTACCTGTCCTGCCACCTTCCAAGATTTACTTATGTAAAACCCCAAGTCTCTCTGTTCCTTCACCCCCTTTAAGATTGTACCATCAGCTTATATTGCCTCTCCTCAGTCTTCCTCCAAAATGCATCACTTTGCATTTCTCCACATTAAACTTCATCATCCACACATCTACCCATTTTACCAGTCTCTCTATGTCCATTTGCAGTCTGTTACTATCCTCCTCACTGTTTACTACTTTTCCTAGCTTAGTATCATCTGCAAACTTGGAACTTGGAAATTGTACTCTCTATACCCAAGTCCAGGTCATTTTGTACAGATCAAAAACAGCAGTGGTCCCAATACTGATCCCTGGGGGACACCACTGCATACTTCCCTCCAGTCAGAAAAACAACCATTCACCACCTTTCTGCTTTCTGTCTCCCAGCCGGTTCTGTATCCCCTGCCACTGTCCCTTTAATACCATGGGGTTCTATTTTGCTTACAAGTCTCTTATGTGGCACTTTATCAAACGAGTGATGCGACTGTTAAAACATTTAACTTTACACTGACCAATTATGTCCCTAAATTGCAGTATAGATTAAAGTGTACTTAGTCTCTGATTGAGTGATTCTTGGAAATTTTGCCACAAGTAGTCCCAATCACATTCCTACACCCATTTCATCTCAAAGCATCATTCCATGTCAGCAAGTCATCCGATTTGTAAATGCGGATCAGCGAGACAAATCTTACTTACACCATCAACTTTACTAAAGTCATTATTGATCTGCTCCTTTCTTTGTATGAGCATGGGCCGTAGATCCAGACAAAAAAAATCTATGACACTGTAAGACATAGCAATTGAAAGTGACATTGTCTCTGGTTATCTGCAAACTCTTCAGCTCTTTCATTTACTGCTCCAGCCAAAATTTTTAAAAAAGAATGGATTAGACTGACAAGATTGGAGAACCTCAAGCTGTCCTGAACTGCACTCTATTTTCTACTTGAATGTCAGTTGATTTATGGGCCGTGCAGGAAAGAAAGGATTTGAATAAGTGAACCACGATGGTGAGAGTCTAGACTTAATACAGTCATGTCGAAGACAAGTTGGTCAAATGCCAGTGATGGCTAATATGTTTTAGAAATTTGAATGTACCTTTATGTTCCTACTTTGCTTGACATGATAATTTTGGGACTGAAATCATGGTTACTTTTTCAATAAAGGTCATTTCGGCCACAAAATATACAGTCAATTCACTTTACATTATATTATATTATATACATTATATTACATTATATACATTATATTCTGTGAAGCGTTTTGAGATGTCTCGAAAACGCGATAAGGCGCCATGTCAAATGCAAGGATTATTATTATTATAATTTCAAGATATAAGTTCACAATCATCAAGCAGAATTTTCTAAACCACCTCCAGACTGCCTTCCCCCATTCTCCTCAGCATAGCACAAACTCTAACTTCATAACACTGTAGACACAAGTTGGCAAATAACATCTGCTGTGCAACAAACGTCAGCATTTATGAACTCCTTTTTAAGTCATAATGATTTACTTTGGGATCCACATTTGCTAAAACCTCTTGCATTCATATCCATGTTTATGAAACCTATATTGTTTTTCTGTGCATAGGCTCATACACCTGTATCCAATCCTTGACTATTTGGGAATTTTAATGGTACAAAATGGAACTTAGTGGTGGGAGGTTAGCGAGGTCTCCTTGGAGCTGAACTGGCTCCAAGGTGACATGACTGACAATGGAATATCGAAATTGAGCGAGCCCTCTGCGGTGGTTTCAGTCATCCGTTTCCTGAGCCAGGTAGGTCCGCAGTAATCCAGGGCACTGCTGATGACAACCTGGCTCATTGGCAGGACCTGGAAGGGCAGACCAGTCACTGGGGGCACGGAGTTGTCCCACTCAGCTCCTGTTAAACTTGAAACCTCAAGCCCTAACAGGTTGGGTGGTCCTAGCTAGCCAGACATCAATATCAATGGCAAGCTATGTGGTTTTAGCTGGTTAGACTCCAGCAGTACCCTAACACACACTCTGGGGTCCTCAAGCCTTGGCTT